CTTCCGGTGTGGAACTCGGAACAAACTATGCAAAACCCATTGTAGACATCGACACAGCTCGTGAGCTACTCGCTAAAGCCATATCAAGAACCCGTGAAGCACAGATCATGATCGGAGCAGCACCTGATGAGATTGTAGCAGATAGCTTTGAGGCCTTAGAGGCTAATACCGTAAAAGAGCCTGGTCTTTGCCCTTCTGTGTCTTCTAATGACCAACAAGTACCTTCGGCTGTTCATTACAACGGGTCAAAGAGAGCGAAACATGATGAAGAAGAAGAGAGAGACATGAAGAGATCTAAAGGATTTGATGAGAGGGAATTGTTTTCGACTGCCGAGTCTTCTTCTTCTTCGAGTGTGTTCTTCACTTCACATTCTTGCTCGTTGGCATCGGGAGGGAAGAATCTGGAAGGTATACAAGACTCTTCTGATCAGATTACTACAAGTTTGGGAAAAAATAGTTTCAAGTAATGAAAAATAAGCTTTATGTGTTGTTATAAAGCCTAACATGTAGATGTGTGAATGTGTCTTTTTAACTCTGTTTTCCTTTTGATGCTACTCGAAAGGAAATGATTGCATAAACATATAATACTGATAATTGCGGTTTATGTCAATTGGCTATGAATAAACATATACATCTAGCTTTGTTTAATTAGTCTTTGTTGCTGTCTATGATGCAGGAGAGGTATGTAACAGTTACACTCTTAGTTAACATAATTGTTCTTTGGCATACAGTGTATATAGTGGAAAGTATGCTCGTAGGCTGTACTAGTTCTACTAGATTTTGCACCTTCTAGTACATCAGGTTGCGAATGCTATAAAATAGACATGCACCGAGGCAAAACTGGATGAGCTTCAAGCTTTCTGAATGGTGAATATGGAAGATCCTCATAACGATTAGTGCTTGCTTGATTATCTCTTTGTTGGAATCCGCTAGAGAGTTTATCTAATCAAAACAATCGAATTAGCTACAAGGTTCTTGATGTGGAAACTGGTGGAAGCGGCTGTATAATCATGCAGCTCCTATTTCTAGAGGACGATCCGGTTAACTTGATCCGAACCGTCGCTGTTCAGTTTTCTCAACAAGGTTGCATCTATGAGGCTTTTTTGTTTCTGTCTGATGTCCTTGCATCATCGACAAGTATGTATGTAAAAAAGGATCCAGATGGGGTATAGTTGTCAATTTTTATAATTTCCAAAAACAACAAAATTAATTAATTTAGATATAATTAAGCTAACTAAAGAAAAGTAAAAAAAAACTTTCAAATGTCACTAAAAAGGTCAATTACTACATGCATGGCCGGAATCAGGGATTTGACAACCGCGTCTGTTTCATCTAAAGAGGAGTCGACGGGGCCGGGATGAGGGTTGACGTAGCCGGAATCTTCGTGGAAAAGAGAAGCAAGGTGGCTGTTATCTTCCAAGAAAGGGTCGAAGTTATCGTGAGAAGTAGTAGAGCCAACGTCTTCGAAATCCTTCAAGAAAGACTCATGTTTATAGCTTACTAGAGAATCCTTATTCACCAAATTTTGATGAGAGATCAGTAGAGGTGATTGATGTGTTGTGACATCTGATTTTGATAGGGTTTTCTTAACTATGAGCTTTGGGTTGGACATATTTTTTGATTCCATCACACTACACAAGTCACATATATAGGTGCTACGAAGAGATGGTGAGCAAAAAAAGAGATGATTATATATGAATTCAAGATAAAGATTGATTTATATAGGGTTCAAATCTTTCCTTTTTATTATTATAGGATTTATATCTTTCCTTTTCAGATATTAAAAGAAAATGTTAAAACGAATTAACTTAACTATTCTATAGAAAGCCTGTTTCAAAAAAAAAAAAAATAATAATAACTTAACTATTTTATATTATCCAACTGGATAATATACATTTATTAACCTTTTCTTTACCTTTAGTGTTTTACAACATATACCATTTCGAATTTTTTTGGCAACAATTTAAAAACAAAATAACTGAAGAAAAATTTCAATCAAAATAAAGAGAAACCCTGATATATAGATCACTTATTCATTTTCTCACGATCATGATTTATACATCTTCGGCAATTTAGTGATTGGTTTGGGTATTTTATTAATTTATTGTTCGATGTCAAAACAACAACAATCACACAAACCTCCGGCATGGGATTATATTGAACATTATTGGGCACATGTGCTGCTTTAATTTGATTTTTAGCCTATCGAGAACCTGAACCCTATATTGCTATATTAATTGAACACACATTTTCTTTCTTTTTTTGGTTTTAATGTGAAGATAAATTAATTGAACTTGTATTTTAATTGTGGTTTCCGTCGTCGTTGGTAATCTGCATAACTTTGCTATAATCATGCAACTCCTATTTATCAAGAGATGAGCCGGTTAACTTGATCCCAACTGCTGCTGCTGTTCAGTTTTCTCAACACGTACGGTGGTTAGATCAACAGAAGCAAGAGCAAAAATAGGGTTTTGAGGCACTTTTGGTTCTGTATCATCGACCAAGTATGTAAAAGGATCCAGGATAAATAGTTATTAGTTAGTCAATTTATTGACACTAATCCTTTGGAATACGATTTGTTGTTTTTTGAATAAAGAAAAGAGAGAAACTCTTGATCTGAATTATATTGACGCGAAAATATTGGAAATAATTTTATTTTGCCAAAAGCAACAATCAATTTACAGTAGATTGAATGAAGCTAAGATAACAAAGGTAAAACCGATGAAAAACTGCTTGCATAACACGGCAAAAGAGGTAAAAGAAATCTATGCATGGCTTGCCCTGAATCAGGGGTCGAAATATTTGACAACCTCGTCTGTTTCATCCAGAGAGTAGTTGAGGCGGCCGGGATGAGGGTCGACGTAGCCGGAATTGTCGTGGAAAAGAGAATCGAGGTGGCTGTTATCCTCCAAGTAAGGGTCGAAGTTATCGTGAGAAGTAGAGCCAACGTCTTCGAAATCCTTCAAGAAAGACTCGTGTTTCTTCTCTTCTGTCCCAACGTCTTCGAGATCCTTCAAGAAAGACTCATGTTTCTTCTCTTCTGTCCCAACGTTTTCGAAATCCTTCAAGAAAGACTCATGTTTCTTCTCTTCTGTCCCAACGTTTTCGAGATCCTCCAAGAAAGACTCGTGTTTCTTCTCTTCTGTCCCAACGTTTTCGAGATCCTCCAAGAAATACTCGTGTTTCTCCTTCTCTTCTGTCCCAACGGCTTCAAGATCCTTCAAGAAAGAGTCGTGTTTCTTCTCTTCTGTCCCAACGTCGAGATCCTCCAAGAAAGATTCGTGTTTCTTCTTCTCTTCTGTCCCAACGGCTTCGAGACCCTCCAAGAAAGACTCGTGTTTCTTCTCTTCTGGCGGAAGAGCAAGATAGAGTAAACCTTGATCTCCGGAACGGAAAGACCAGACAGGAAGGACTTGCTTCTCCTTTAACGTATTATTGGCAACCACGTTGTTCCAACCTTTGGTGATGTGAAGTATCCCGGTCCACTTCTTCAAGGTAACTATACGAGGCTGGTTCTTAGTATCAAGCAAAACTACGCTCAGACCTTTTTCATCGCAAGTTTTTTGTTCCTGATCGGTCAAAAAATCCCTCGTCACCATTTGTTTAGCAGGGAACAGCAGACGTTGTTGATGCGATGAAATATCTGATGCTGTTAGGGTTTTGTTAACTATCAGCTTGGGTTGCGAACCATTATTTGATTCCATCAAATTCTGAAGCCACATAGGTGGTTCCGCCATGTTTTCGTTTTGGAAGAAACCGAAAACAAAGAAGAGAAAGAGAGCTAGTGTTAGTGAAGAAAGAGATGATGTGAAGAAAGAGACGATATGACGAAAGAGATGATGTGAAGAAAGAAATGATTGTTAATTAATATATATATAGCCATAGGGTTGACATGTTTTCCTTTTTGTTATACGATTTAGTTTTCTCTTTGGGTAGGAAATGAAAACGATAAAACGAATTATCTTATCCATTTGGATAAAATACATTTTTAACCTTTCCTTTTCCTATATGATTTACAAATTACAACAACAACATCTCAAATTATTTTGGAAACAAAACAATGGAAGAATAACGTTTAATCAAAATAAAAAGACTAAAACCCCAAAATAAATAATTATTTCTTCATTTTCACTCACGAGTCACGAGCATTCTCTTCTCTCTCCAAACCCTAGCCGCTGCATTTCTACGCCTCGCTGTCTAGCCGTCTGCGTTGTTCTCCGTTTGGTTTAATTATAAAACCCTGACTCTGCTCCCGACTTCTCATTCTTCTCCAACTGGCCACATGCATTTTTCCTTGGGTCTGTTCATCTTCTTCACCATGGTGTTTCGTAGCCGCATAGCAGAAGTCGCGGACCTGGTTAACCCATTCAGAAGAGGAACCCCCCTGAGGCCTGGTACGATTCCCATTATCTTTGACCATATTCCTATACGTTTGATGTTTTTTACTTTGAATTCATTAATAGCCTGTAGTGCATGTGTCCATCAATTTCTGATCATAAGTATGCAAATTAACAAAAGTACAGGATATTATTTACTTGGAACTCACTCACGATATATATAGAGAGAGTGTTGTACTGCCCTAATTTTTTATTTATTTTTATTAATAAAGTTGTGATGAATATCAAATGTTTCATGTCGTTTTTATGCACGTGGCCTTACTAAATTACAGTATACTAATTATATGTTAAAAATATGTCACTAATTATAACAAATCCGGTAAACGATACAATAATAATCATCTTAGGCAGTTTAATTTACAGAAAAAAAAGTTCATGGAATTAAATCTTCCGAGATTTTTAAAAAAAATCTACGAATACTGTATATATTAAAAAGGTTAAAGGATAATACTGATAACTGATTTCCTGCGAGTATAATAATATATATATATTTTTAATATAATGGACAAGGATAATACGAACTCCGACATGAGCTATATATATTGAAGATTGGGCTACATGTGCATTATACCTATCGGAACATGAACCCTATATTAATTTTTTTTTTCAACGTCGTATCGCTGAGTGAGTGGAAGCTAGCTAGGGTTTAACGAGATGATGAAAACGTGGAGGAGAAGTGAATACTCAGACCTAATTCCAATTGATCTGATTTTTGAAATACTCTCAAGTTTGCCGGCGAAATCTGTAGCGAGATTTCGTAGCGTATCAAAGCTGTGGGGTTCTATAATTAGCCGCATAGATTTCACTGAGTTGTTCCTGACCAAATCTTCTGGTCGGCCTCAGCTTTTGTTCACATGCGTGAAAAGCAATGAATTGTTCTTCTTCTCAACCCCACAAACTTGTGAGAACTGGTTTCCTGTTGTAGCCGCCGAATATCATATGAAGCTCCGCTGTGATCCATTCCGCAACATACTTAATCCTATAAGTGGCTTGGTCTGTTTTCATGACAAACGGGGAGATAAAAGTGGATTGTTGGAGACGGTGATATGCAACCCTAGCACCGGACAATCCTTTACTTTACCTAAAATGAAGACGAGAGGGAGGGTGGCGCTCATGAGTAGCTTTTTAGGGTATGATCCGGTCGAGAAACACTTCAAGGTGTTGGCAATGACTTTTCCATCTGGAGATGATGGGATCTCCGAGGAGCATCAAGTTCTCACATTAGGAGGAACTGGATCTTGGGGAATGATCCAGTGTTGCATACCCCATTGTCCTGGATTTAAGGTGATATGCATCAATGGTGTTTTGTACTATCTAGCTAAGGTCAACATGTCTTCATCGATTTCTATGATAGTTTGCTTTGATGTTAGGTCTGAGAAGTTCAGCTTTGTTAAAGTCACAGAAGATTTCTCTGCCGTAGTGCATCATACATCGACTCTGATAAACTACAATGGTAAATTTGGTTCAATTACGACGTCAGATTATTGTTGTGTTGATGGAACAACCGGTGCTTTTATATTTTGCGTTCTAGAAGACCCTCTAAAACATGAGTGGTCGAAGCATATTTACATTTTGTCTCCTCTGTGGTGGCATGTTTTTCGAGGGAACACCGTACACATTGTTGGACTGACTCGTACAAATGAAGTTGTCTTGTCAAAAAAAATTCCAAACGAACCTTTCTATGTTTTCTACTACAATCTCGAGAAGAAAACTATAAGAAGAGTTCAAATCCAAGGAATGGGAGCGTTAAAGGGTAATAACGTTTACACCTTTATAGACCATGTTGAGGACTTGAGGGTCAAGCATCTTACGACTTTTATGTAACTTGAGATTTTGTAACATAGCTTCAATAATTTTTTTTCTTTTACTTTAGCACCATAACTTAAAAAATGATTTCTTAATAGAGCACTTTATCTTTCAACTGGTTGGTTGACTGGATCCATTACATATACAACATCCACATGTGGATGTATCAAGTTTTTGATTTTTTGGTTTTATTCTACTAATATGAAAGTTTTTCTGTTGTCGTCTTAAATTAGTTTCATAATTGTTTGGGAGAGAAGGAAAAATGTTAATGAGCCGAATTAGTTTAGGAATAAGAAAGCCTTTTTAAAGGCCCATTATTGTCGAACCAAAAAAGCCCCATTATCGTTGAACTAAAAAGGCCCATTATCAAATTAAAAGGATGGTGGTCTGTGTCAATTTGTCTCCGTTATATTTATCACATCCGCCGGTAAATATCAGCCAGAACGAGAAACCCGGCGACAGATATGGCGTCGTCAAAGGGAGGAAACAGCAGCGGCCACATCAATACACTTCACCAACGTCTTTATCACGCTCTCAATCTCGGCTTCAGGTCCTCTTTTTTTTCTTTCTCTCTACTCTCAATCTCCCTGTTTCTCTGAGGCTGCTTTGATGTTTCCTCTTTTTTTTTTTTTGAATAGATTTCCTGAGAAAATTTGTTTATTGATTGGTAGGGTATGTGATGAGAAGGAGAAGAAGTGGAAGTGTACTGATATCGAGATACAAAGGCATGTCGTGAAGTCGATTTCAGCTTTCCTTGATTGTTTTTCTCGAGCAACAGCTCACAATCGTCTTATCAAGGTCTGTTTTGATCTGTGCTTGTTCAAATTTTGTTGTAATTGTCTTGCTTGATTCCAATTTTGTTTTTTGTTTTTTTGGGTTTTGTGCTGCTTAGGATTCAATATCTGATATAGCCGGGGCCTTGGTGTTTATTCTAGGGTGTAAGAACAGAGCCGTGGTGGGTTTGGCAGTCAATGTAGTTATTAGATTGATTCGTACTGTTCCTTCTTCTATCTTGCAATCCTATTCTTTGGATCTCGTGGAGTCTTTATCACCTCTCTTACGTTGTCAACAACTGGAAGTTTGCCTTGCCTGTGCCGTTGCTTTGAACGCTATTCTTATGAATGTTCGAGAAACGAAGGAGAAAGAAGTGTGGAAGATTTTAGAAGACTCTAAAACCGTGGTTTCCGTCGTTGCTAATCTCCAGAACTTTTCTGAGGGAAGTATGTCAGTGGAATGGTTTCAAGAGATGGCTTCGCTTTTGAATACAATAATGTTGAAGTTGCCTCAGTCAAGGTATTCTGTTTGGCACAACCCTGCTTTGATGAGTATATTGGAGAGTGTTAGTCAGAAGCCTGATATGGATTTGAGAGTTGCAACTTTGAAGCTGTATTCTTCTCTAGGTATATATGCTTGTCAAAATTAGGTATTATGTTCTTTCCTGACCTACCAAGTAAATTTGGCCCTAACTTGTCCCTTGGTGGGTGTTTCTCTGTTTTTCTGTCAGCTCTTTGTGGCCATGGTGCAAATGAGCTTCTTGACAACGGGAAGCCTATGTTAGCTATGATGATTAACTGCATAGAGGAATCAAGCCCTCTAAATGCTCGAATTGAAGGATTAAAGCTAGCACAAAGGCTTGCGGTAATTGCGCCGCACCCTGCTGACCTTTATTTTGATTATCTTTTTGTATTTCTAACCAGTGGCCGTTGCTCAGACAGGTAACCAAGAGTGCTTGAAGATGATAAACATGTGTTCTGAGTCACTAGTAAAGGCGATTGTCCAGACTATGGGTAAGTGGTCCTTGAGCTCAGGAAAGCTTGAACATGACCAGATGTCTTTGCTTGTGGAGGCTTGTAAACTGGCTCTAATCACTCGTTGGGAAGGAAAACATCATTTTTATTTCTGGAAGTATCAGATCTCTGAAGTACTTCTTAGACTTGTTGTGGAGAATTTTCAAAGTCAATCCTTGGATGGTTGTGTGTCTCAGGAAGAAGAAATTTCACTTGCTGAGAAGGTACTGAATGCGAATTTTCTTCCTAGTCTGAGGTCATATGTTTGGGATATAATTGGATTCTTGGCAGCTCACTGTGAGGGAGAGTTTGATTCCATTTTGCATGGAGATGAACTCTGCCTCGACTTTCTTGTCACATGTGCATGGTAAGACACTGGTTGTTTTGTTTTTCATAACCGCTTCTTTTTGGATATAATCTTATCTATTCTGATTATTTATCTTTCGACCTTTTTTCAAGCTTGACCTTTTCAAGCTCGGTTCAGAAAGGCTATCAAATATGTCAAAATGATATTCTCAGCGCCTCCCATAGCGAGTCAGCATCAAGAGCAGTGCTAATGATGATATATTCTCCCTCCAAATACATATCAGCGAGGGCCAGAGTTACCCTGTCATTTGTCCTAGAAGAAGGTGGTGAGCAAAATTTGAATTCCCTTGTGAATTTCTTGAGTTATATTCCATCCTCTGGAAGTTACATACTGCCAAATCTACTACAAACTACCGTCTGTTTGGTGGGCTCTGCATGCTATTCATCGATTCCTCAATATGCAAATTTCATTTTAAGAAACCAGGGTTTGGAGATCCTATTATCTTTCTGCAGCTGGTATCAAAGGAATTGGGAAAATATTGGAGCATCAAGTTTTGCTCCTTCTACCCAAAGCACCTCCGAAAAGAGGATATGTTGCTGGGTATGTGCAGAAGATTGGGACAACAAAGATACTTTTCTTCTATACGCTCTCTTAGCTTTGGCCGAGTTGGTGAATTATTTATTCTCTGGACAGAATCACACTGAAGAAATTTCAATGAATAGGGAAAATTTGATAGATCGGTTATGCACTACACTTAAGGAAATCCGGGATGGAACTTATGGCTCTGGTCCAAGGTGGTATGCTGCACATATCCTAAGCTATTTTGGATACTATGGCTTCCAACATAACTTGGGGAAAAGGCTCATGGGAGCTTATGAAGATGAGGAATGTATTGATATGCGACTTCTTTTTGCTAGTGGGAATAGTGCAAGTGTAAATAAAGTTATTATCGCTGTCAGGTGTCCAATGTTGCTGCCTCCCAAGGAAGGAGCTCACAGTAGCTCAACTATATTAACTGGGAAATCTCAGAGAACCGTTCAAGAAATCCGCATATCTGCCAATGTGGATACTTTGGCACTTGTTAAATTATTGGAATTCGCTTACTCTGGATATGTGGAAGTAGAAATCACGATGCTGAAAAAGCTGAAAACTTTGGCGAGACATTGTAAGGCAAAGGTTCTGCAGCAGATGCTCTGCAGACGAAGACCCAAGTGGGGATCTTCAATACCCGGGATTGATATATCCATTGCCCTCACTCCTAAACTAATCCATTTCTCGTAAGTTTATCAGTCTCATTAAACTTTTCGACTTTAACAAACAGATAAACCCAGGTATAAATGATAGTATTCTTGTAATTTCAGGGATGTGATATTACTACCTAAAGAAACAAACGTGCCTGGCTTCAACTGCCGTTTGTGTTCCTCAACATCTCCCCATGCCCACTCTCACCGGGTTATACTGTCATCAGGCTGTGAATACCTACGTGCCTTGTTCCGGTCCGGGATGCAAGAGAGGTATGTAACATTACTCTTAGTTCACTTAATTTTCTTTGGTGAACTATATGTTGGTGGCTGTATTAGTTCTAGGATTTTCCTAAAGCAAGCCCCTTCTAGTTAGGGGTGGACACTGACCATACATCCAGTAAATTTCAAGTATCTATTACACCGCCAACTTTAATAGAAACCCCATCGGGTAGATCATGTTTATCCAGAAGAAAATCAAAATTAACTGCGAGTCAGATTTACTTTGGTAATGTGTATCCACCTCTAATTATACAAAACCTGAGGAGTTATTTGGTATTTTTGCTGTATGTGTTACTCTAATGTGGGCAGAGAATAAATGTATTGAGTAATAAAAAACTCAACATCTAATAATTGGATCTTAAAAATCTGCAGCCATTTGGATACACTAAAGGTTCCTGTGAGCTGGCTGGGGTTAAAAAAGCTTGTGCGTTGGTTCTACTCTGATGAGTTGCCAAACCCTCCATCTGGTTGCAAGTGGAACAACATGGACAACGAGACAAAACTGGGTGAGCTTCAAGCTTACGTGGAGATATACTCGCTTTCTGAATGGTGGATTATGGAAGATCTTCAAAACGATTGCGCTCATGTGATTCTCTCTTGCTTGGAATCCTCTAGAGAGTTATCTATCAAAACAATCGAATTAGCTGCAAGTTTCTCGATGTGGAAACTGGTGGAAGCGGCTGCTAATCATGCAGCTCCTATATATCATCAGCTTCGTGACTCAGGTGAGCTCGATGAGCTAGATGACGAGCTGGTTAACTTGATTCGGACAGCTGCTGTTCAGTTTTCTCAACAGGGTGGTTAAATCAATAGAAGCAAAAGTTAAACAGGGCTTTGACCTTTTTGAGAGTTTATGAGGCTTTTTGGTCCTGTTTGATATCCTTACATCATCTACCATGTAAAGGATCCGGGATGTATAGTTTGTCAATTTGTCGTCACAATCCCTTTTGAAGATCGTACCTGTTATACAGTGGCATTGGTCTCTTTAGATAGGGAGCAATCTGTTGTGGGATTTTGTCAAAGAATCGTTTCTGTTCTATAGTGATAAAAAACACATGAAATTTTTTGTAAGCTAAACAAGGTAATGTACAAAGTAATTTCTGTAAGCTATACAAGGTTTATCTTTGAACCATTTTCGAACAAGTTTTGAATTAATTAGCGCCTTTTTGGACAATAAAATAATTAGGGTTTTTTTTGGACCTGAATCGGTTATAACGTTAATTTCCACGAAACATGATAATTTTAAGCTTTCACGAAACGGTCATATAATCGGTGACACATAAGGAAGACCTAACTCTGAATTTTGTCTTCTAATAAGTCGATCTGTAACGCTTCTCGTTTTTAGCATGACCTTCTCCACGTTTATGTTACCTCATCTCTTTCTTCTTTTTTCTTCTTGGTGTTTGCTCCGTATATAACCAGCTTTAAGGTGACAAATCTTTGAGAAGAAAGAAGAGATTAAAAAAAAAACAAATGGTGGCCGAAAACTCGATCGACAGCTCCTATGGAGTGACCAAGGTTCCTCCTATCTTTGGCTTTCCTCCAGTTGCCTTAGACGACAAGAAACCTTGTGTTTCTGCATCGGATTTTGCAGTCCCTATCATCGACTTTTCAGGCGTCCACGTAGATGCAGTGTCACGTGAAGGCGTTGTGGAGAAGATCAAAGACGCTGCAGAGAAGTGGGGAATCTTCCAGGTGATCAACCATGGTGTTCCTTCAAGTGTTCTTGATGATATTAAAGATGGAGTTGTCAGATTTCATGACGAAGATCCCGAGGTTAAGAAATCTTACTTCTCCCTTGACTTCGCAAAAACATTCATCTACCACAATAACTTCGAACTGTACAGTTCGTCTTCTGGTAACTGGAGAGACTCTTTCGCTTGTTACATGGCTCCTGATCCTCCAAACCCAGAGGAGATCCCTGTGGCTTGCAGGTAATTACTTTCTTTTTTTCATTGTGAATTAAGTCTTAGGGAATACTTAACTACTTAAGATATATAAAAATAAATTGAACATTATTAATTGGCTCAGAGATGCTATGATGGGATACTCGGTGCACGTGATGAGCGTAGCTGGTATGCTCTTTGAACTTCTCTCGGAAGCTCTTGGTTTGAGCTCAGAGAGCCTTAAGAGTATGGGTTGCATGAAGGGTATGCATATGATATGCCACTATTACCCTCCCTGTCCACAACCTGACCTAACTTTGGGAACAAGCAAGCACTCCGACAACACCTTTATCACCATTCTTCTTCAGGACAACATCGGGGGTCTTCAAGTTCTTCATCAAGACTGTTGGGTCGATGTCTCCCCTCTTCCTGGGGCACTTGTCATCAACATCGGAGATTTCTTGCAGGTTTAAAGTATAAGAGACATTGACGAAGACGTACATTTGAATTACTTTCTTAGCTAAGTTTCTCTTATTTGGTATGTGCAGATGATGACGAACGATAAGTTCAGAAGCGCGGAGCATAGGGTGCTTGCTAACAGAGTTGGACCGAGGGTCTCAGTAGCGTGCTTTTTCAGCTCGTGTATGAATGAAAATTCCACGGTTTACGGACCAATAAAGGAGCTTCTGTCTGAAGAAAATCCCCCAAAATACAGAGAATTCACTGCACCAGAGTACTCCAAGGGATACATTGAGAAAGGTCTTGATGGAACATCGTATCTGTCGCATTACAGGATATGAAACGATAAGTCTAAGACCAATATTCAGTTTGATGCAACTATATATGTGGGGATCTAAGTTCTTATCCAAGTTAAAGCTTCTCTGTTTTTGGGTCTGCAATAACTAAACCATTATACCAAAATGTTGTGTCGAAACATTTGTGCTTTCCTAATTCCTACCAGTCATATTCCTATATTTATAGCATAGTAAATGTTTTATATTGGATCTAGAGATGCAAATTTTTATTTAATCAGGGTTTTAATTATACCATTCCATGTTTATGAAACTGCTTGATATTATATATTGCTTTACCTTTTTAGTTTGTTAAAAAGTCAGTTCCTAGACAATTATTTTACAATAATCGTGAGAACCACTTCGTGCCCAAATATCAATACAACACATCCAAAAAAAAGAGCAGAATCATTTTCTTTTTCCCTAATTGAACTCGTTTAGCTAGAAACACAAAGTGTAATATCAAGCAGTCCTGGAAGCAGCACTTGGCGTCGCGAAAACGCTCTTTTACATTTTCATTGGTATCGTCTTCGACAGCATGAGCTTCTTGGTTGACGCTTACGATCTTTTCTGGTTCTCTCTGATTTCCAAACTCCTTGGTCGTTTTTACTTCCGCAACCAGTTTCTAGTTCCAATCCTTAGATCAGAACTGATCCTGGATTCAACTAAGAACGAAAAAGTAAACAAAATTACTGATTCCATCTATGAGTGCTTTAGAAAAGCCATGGTGCAAATCGAAAGATTTTATAAATGGTGTATTTATATCATACATGGATTAGCCATTTATTTGGTGGGTTTAATCTTCAAGTTAGATATTTGTGTAATTGTTGTATCTATGCCTGTGTTTAAATAGAAGAGTTTTCAATAAGACCAAAAAATACTCCTTTTTTTATTATTTTCTTTGTTACATCGAAAAAACCAACAACGCTTTTTGTTTTGTTTTGTGGTCGTCTCCTCTCCGCTTATCTCTCTTGTTGCCTGATGTGTCTTCTACATACAACTTGTCTTCGCTCACATTATAACAAAATAAGTAAATTACAAGATACATCATCGACGTATTTGTCTACATCTCTCTCTCTATATAATCTTCTACTAGTACAAGAAACGTTCTTCTTGTATTTGTGAGAAATCTTGAGAAAGAGGTTAAAGAACAGAGATATTCATTGAATTACTTTCTCAACTGAGGTAATATGTTATTTGGTTTGTGAAGATGATGACAAACTACAAATTCATAAGCGTTGAGCATAGGGAGCTTGCAAACAAAAGCAAGCTTTTTCAGCTCGAGTATGAATCCAAATCAAGTAATTCGATCGGAATAGTAACTAATAACAGAGCATCAGATTATATAATACCCTGTCTGGAAACTCGACCAGAGTTCAGAATATTCAGAGTTAGGGTTTCGTGATGATTTAAGAACGCACTCGTGTAAAGAGTCGCATTCCTCGATGAGACTCAGGATCGTTATCGTACGGTTCGTGCGTCAAGGCGAGCGGTTTCTCGACCTGACCTATCGGCGGCGGCATCAAGGGTTTTCGAGAAACTTGACTAGAAGGTTTGACTGAGGCCGGTGTGTCGTCAACAGCCGCCGATGGGACCAAAAGCGACGAAGCCATCGAAGTATTGGTGCGTGTGAACGGAAAAAGAGGGTTTGTGATTATACCTACTATGTTTAAAAGCTGAGCCCCACATCAAATTAATTTAGTGCAACCTGAACCAAACTATTTATTCATGTTTATTATATTTGTATCGTCTAACCTATAATACGAAAAAAAAAGAAAAAAAAAAACCTATTATACGTTTTTACCTACATTCAAGTTATTTTTATCTTGAGACCGAAACTTTTTTTATTATTATTTTTTACATATATTCTCACTCACATATAAGTACTGTAAGTCAAAACAAATATTCAGAAAATATACACAGATACACTCCTGTATACAATACTTGGGTTTGGTTTTAACTAAACTCAACTCAATTGCTGCTTATACATGAAATAGGATTAAGAAGCAATGGTAAAACATAGCGTACTTGAAAATGCTATATAATATACAACAATGTATGTGATATATAACACTGATTTCAAAATATAGATGTTTAGCTATTTGATTTATGAAAAGAAAAAAAAAACATTTAAGCATATGTATACGTAGAGAATCCTATCACATGATGAAGGTTACGAACATATCAATATCAAAGCATATAGCTTACACGTAAAAGGATGTTTCATAAAATCATTATTTTCATTAATACATTTTCAAAACTAATTACAAGGACTCGTCTTGCAGATATTTAGATGACCCCGCTTACATGATCTTATTCGTCACAGAAACAATTACAATTTATTGGTCAATATAAATGAAAACAGTATTTTCTTGTTCTTCTTCTTTTATGGTCTGTCACATAAACCTTGGATCATCATTCTATTAGGATTGCATTATCCCACTTATTGCCTCTTACCATTGTTGATATTGTGAGTCTTATTATAGTTCTCCCCATATTCAAGAAGCTCATCCAAAACACTATCGTCCAAGTACTCAAACTCAAAAACTTGACTAGAAGAGGAAGAAGTGTTAGCCGCGGTGGTAGAGGATCCGGCTCCCATGTTGTACTCATGAGGGAAGTTGAGAATGGCGGCTTGGCCTCTCATTGAATAGGCCGCTCGATCATAGGCTCGAGCTGCGTCTTCTGCAGTGTCAAATGTCCCTAACCACACACGCTCTCCGTGCTTCCTCGAATCTCTTATTTCCGCTGCGTATTTTCCCCAAGGCCGTCTCCTTACTCCACGGAACTTCACTTGCTCGGCTCCTCCTCCATTGCTACGACCTCCTTGATCCATATATATGTGTGTTTGTGTGTGTATAATGTTGTGTGTGAGAAGAGAGACAAAGACAAAGTGAGTAAGAAGAAGAAGAAGAAAGAAGGGATGTATGAGAGTTTGGAGACGTACACAAGTTTTAGCGTCTGTGTGTGTTTTTATGTTTGTCTCTGTGTGTTAATTTTGCATGGATTAAAAGAGATTTGATTTGTGGGAATTTATAGGCAAGGAAACAAGTGGGTCCATTAACCTAATATTCGTAAGTTCGAACCATCCACTTATCAAAAAATCTTATATAGAGATGTTCTTTATACCTTTTTCTCTCTTTCAACATAGATGTTCCATATTGTATTATAGATTTTTCCTTAGGGAGCTATTGGTCTTATGAATTCAATATATTTGGCATCAGCTGCTACCAATCTGTTATATATTTATTTTGAATCTTTACAAGAAAAACAAAACTAATATTGAATTTACATATCGGAAAGCAACTGCTGATTATAAAAAGACCGGTTACAATGTATCAAAATTTAAACTCTAGTATACTGAATTAATTTTCATCAATTCGGATAGTTATTTTCTTTTTCGAAAACAAATCTAACCTAATAAATAAAATAAAATAAAACTAATTTGTAGATGTTTTGAAGTTAATAAACTCAAGTTGAACTTGGCCAAAATAAAAAGTGAAGAAGAGAAACAGAAAATTAAAAATACAAAATGGTGGTATTGATGGGAACAGCAATGGAATCTTGTTACCAAAAATATGATGTGTAGTGAATGAATAATAAAGAGAGAAAGAACCAAAGTACAGTAGAGAGGACCCATGGGAATATGTATGACTTCGCAGGTAGTGCGCACGTGGGCTGACCTCTCCTGCTACTCTCTCTCAACACCGACTTTCTCTCTCTCTCTCTCCCTTGGACCAACTTTCATGTTTTCAACTTTTCTCAATTACTCGCAGAATCTACGCCTTGGGGATATGACTACTGACTAGTGATCTGATCATCCTCTCCAAAATTAAGTTCTTTGACATGACTTTACATTTCCCATAAATGTTTTCATCTTGTGATCAATTGTATTTTCACATCCTTTCATATTTTATTTTTATTATATAAACAGTTCGGAATATATTACTGGATCAACCAATTAATTTACTACTCTTAAGATCAAGTTTACGATTTACGAATATACATTATCCAAGCAAATTAAACACGTTTACGAATATTTTGGATCGGTCAAGTCCAAAACTCCAAATTGAGCTAACTAAGATGAGATTTCTGGTTATGCGACTCTAATTAAGGATCAGATTAATATATAAGAGCTAGCTTCATTAATTGTCGATTAGTGATCTGCGATTACATCTGATTATTCACTTGGCCTTGGCAAATATTATTATGCCTAGTTAACGACTTATAACGTATCTGTTCAAGTTTCAGATGTAAGTATTGATCATTGCATTAAGCAAATCTTAATAAAAATATTATGTTCATATATATACATATATATATATATATATATGTTTACATAAATTTCCAATAATTTTGTGAGAGAGATCATTTGTAAGTTGTGAACGCAAATACAAAAGGTATTCGCAATTTGATTTTATGCTTCGCATCTCACGCTTGCATATACGATTTACTTGTTTTAAATTAAAAACATTTATTAAGATATCATACTTTCATTTTATATAAAGTTTAAGAATTAAAAATCGTGGTGGTTTAATTTATATAATAATCAATTATCAAGCTTATGATAGGTTGAGAATTAAGAATTTCATTGATTTTGTGGTACGTATTTTTTTTTTTGTAGCTATTATTCTCTAAGATATCTGATCGTTAATGTGTTGTCATCGATTAGATTAACTGAATACTCATCAATAATATGGAATAGACAGTTGAACGGAGCACACACATGCAAGATCACGTAAAACAACTCAACCTAAATGAAAATGTATAGAGAAACGCACAGACAGTTAAGCTTGGAACGCGTCAAGCAAACGCTTTCTCCTTTGATCTTTATTAACAAAATTTATCTTTTCCTATGATACAATTTTGTCTCGGCTCTTACTCAATCTATTCCTACCAATAGAATTGAACCCGACTAAAGAACGAGCATTAAACCTATCTCTCCTACACCCGTGTAGTCCCAAGAGAAAACAAACACTCACCTTCTCAGCTTTTTGTTTTGCTAGCTTCGAAGTATACAATCACGTACAAAGAGTCTAAAGTGTTCAAAATGGCTCGTGGCCAAACCCTAGACTATTTATACTCACTACTCGAAACCCTAACCCTAGGATCTTCGAGGATCTCACGGAAACGGAATATACTTGCTTGTCAAGCTTATCCTTTCCTTATTTGATGTGAAGAATATTCACCATATCTTCACACGCAATTCGTCTCTATCTTTGCTGCCAAGCAAGAAATCTTCCTTAGCACGTCACTCCATCCACTTAAGCTTTGCCACGTCATCTCACGACTCCATGTCAACAACTTCAAGTGTCTGATGTGATCCCAGGCGTCTGATGTGGTCTCAGGCGTCTGAACAGATGCGGCTTCCTGACCTTCACAGCAAGCTGTTCTGGAACTGTATCTTCACTAAAATCTTGAAAAAACACGAATCCGCAACCTCTTCGAATACCTTACATACTCTAGAATCTGAATCTTATTATAATTAAATATGTAAGTTTTTATAAAATATAATTAATCGCTAAATTAGTTCCATAAAATTAACATTAGGGGGTCACTTTCATTAAGAAACTTCTACCGGAAGATGCATTCCTCCTAGTTCCTACGTATAAGTGAACATTCCATAGCCTGTCTTTCTTTCGTAAATCTCTTTTTTTTTTGTTTACATTACTCAATGCATATATCGAAATATATAAAATTTTATAAACTTATATATCTATTAACCCTATTTTTCACGTGTGTTTTTGCCTGATGATTTATTCATGCAGCCTAGTGAGTTGTGAATTGTGAGATCAACATCAACAATATCTACGATTAACGTTAAGTCAGTTGAAAAAAAAAAGAAAAAAGGATATGTCCAATGTATCTAGTAGGTGATCATAATAAAATCTCTCTATCATGGTCATAAAGTAGATATATATATATAATTCTTTAAGTTTTATTTTTGTTACTTTTTTATAAATCTATGTATAGATATATGTATTATTAAAAATCATTAGTTAGCCATTTTTGGCTGCTCCTGGTCCTGGATTCGATATGTGAATGTGTCCGTACATATTCCAAATCTATTTTTATTTATTTAAAGTCTACAAAAGAGATTTATAGAGTTTCTTTTTTGCCTTCCTTTCTTTTATATCCGATTACCTTTCCCTTTCACATCACATTTAAAATAATGATTTCAGTTTTATTATTGAAGTCGTTTAAATCTGACTTGGCTTTGACTCCTAAGGTCCACGACACATATTTTATGACTTGACTTTAATGACATGTAATTAAACAAACATATTGGTTTTCACCAAAAAAAAAAAAAAAAAAAAAAAGAAAGAAAAACATAGTATTGGTTACATTTTCACCAAAAAGTTTATTTCTGATAAACTGTAAAACTATAATATGTCAAACTATAATATCTTAAATATAGCTTAAAAAGTTCAACCCTGGTCCTGGTATGCTTAACCCACAGTGCATTCCAATTAGGTTATTCTATTTCTGTTAAACATCTAAAACGCACAATTCATATCCTTGTAATTCACATTTTTCATAATGATTTATTTATTATTGGAGTTTATGTTCATTATAATTTTTAATCAGAGCATGTATAAAAATAAATAAATTACACAATAATTCGTTCAATAGTCTTTTTCTCAATCGACAGTTCTGACGTCTTTCTTGAACTGAAAGGCGTAATGAATCTAATAATATTAATTCAACACTAAGAGAATAGAATTTAAGAAAATTGGAATTAACGTTCATTCTATTGTAGTAGACTAATGATAATCCATGGGGAGGAAAAAACGAAGTTTGTGTGGTTTGGATTGAATAAGAATCAGAATCTTCAATTGTTGTCTCCATTACGACTAGTGTAAGTGCTCTCTCTCGAGGTTGGGGACAATATATATAGCTACGACTAGACTTCATAAAGCCCTTTTATGTCTTCGTGCATGAACCTACATTCTACTAATTGAATACCATATATTATAAGGAGAATCTTCCTATATATATAATCGGCAACGTCCATGAAGGAACCTATAGCTAATAAAAGGTTAAGTGAATGAATAAGAACCATTAACATATACATAGATGAAGCTTCTAAAAGTCCAAAATATAATTTGTTTATTTTCTATTACCAAATATCGATCAAAACATATTTCCCACCATGAAGCGGATATATAACTAACTAATAGTATCATAATTTAACTCGACACAAAAAAATGAAATTTACTATAAAAAAAAATTATAACCAGATAATATATTAATTAAATTTTCAGATTTATAATTTTTAACTATTACTTAAATACATCCTTTTAATTACAAAACAAAAAAAAAATACGAAACGATTAGAGTTAGAGATACTCATATAAATTTATGTACGATTAGTTTTAGCTCTTTAACTTCGTCTTTTTGTTTTCCAAATCAGTATCAAATAATATATTTACACAAATATATTCAGGTTAAGATTTGTAAAAGAATAGCGTAATAGATATAGGCATAATCTCTGGACACTGAACATAATGGGCCAGCCCACCAAATTTACTCGTGACCCACATGTGGTCCACGCACACAGCTGCACTAAAAATGATCCCCAATTAATAGTATAGATGGAGAAACAACAGGTTGATGGATAAAGTTTAAGAAAAAAAGATATATGCCATTGTATTTTTATGAAAATTTTGATCTCATTTAATGATCCGCCAATAAATGAAATAAGCATTGGAATATGATGTTTTGACTCGCACATATATCAACGATTTTCAAATACATACGTTGTTGACCCAAGATTGCTCTTAGTTTCTTGAAATGTTATAGTAAAGTAAACAAAGTCAAGCCTTAGTTTGAGATCATCGATCCGTACATTACATAGGAGCCAAAGCTTTTTTTCTACTTATAGAGAATCTCCAACATGAAAACAAAAACGAAGAAAACTAGTAGAAGTCGAGTGAGTTTCATCTCGGAGACACGTGTACCCCGATGGGTCTGACGCACTCACGTGACCGACCAACCATCACGTGCTGCTTGATCCACCTCACCGTTGCTCTCTTTGACCTAGTGGTTGACGTGGCGCATGACGATGACTCCCTCTCAGCCTCAGAACCTCTCTCATTCGTAGTCTCAAGTCAAAAGTCAAATTGTTAGTGTTACATTCAAACTAATTCAATTTTCGAAATAGTTCAACCAAATTTCGAAATGTTTATATATCTCGCAACCTAAATTCATGAACCAAAACGCTTTCACAGCTGTTTTGTCATGTGAAAACTGTAAACTAACTCAGTTTTTTTTTTCTACAATTTCCTGAATGCATTGTTTTTTCTAGTACTATTACTGTTTTAAGAAAGATTATATTTACGTGTGAAATATTCTTCTGCTGCTCTCTGCTCTGGTACTTTTTTGTATTTTTGTATTTTTTTTTTTTTTGTAAGTTTCCAACCATGGATCTGAATCTAACTTTGTCGATTTGTGATTTCCTCCACTACATAATTTTTACAATTGTGATTGTCTCCGTCGTGTGCACGTTTTCAGTTTATCATGTTAACCAAAAAAAAATTTGAGAGCGCAATAATAAATTTATAGTATATCTTGCAAAGGTATCCATCTCCATGCAAAAGTCGATTATAAATAAATAGTCACTTAAATGATAATTTAATACACATATACGTACCTAAAATGACTCGAAGAAGTATTTGAAACAGATAATCTTGAGGGTATATTGTATTTTACTTTAAATTTGCTAAAGATAAGAAACTATCAGAGAAGAAAAAATTCAAATATGACACGAAACTGTATTTCTCACCGAACCTATTCTGTTCTCTTCTGTCGTGAGCCGAACTATTCAACATATAAACACGATAGAGTATGGAAACAGTGTCCTTCTTTATCTTATTTTATTCTGTCTGCCATTGTCGTTTTTAAAGTTTTTTTTTTAATCTTCCCATTTCTTGTAGATAGATCTATAAAACATAAAGGTTAAAATTCAAAGCCAACACTTCGGATTCATTCTTTTCTTGCGGTAGATTTGACCCTTTCTTCTCATTCCTTCTTAATTTATTTCTCGACTGGATTAGACACAGAAAGGAGAATTCTTTTACTAATCCTTGTGTCTTTTTGTAACCGGTTCGAACCATATACTTAGACCTTCAATATCAAGCTATTATAGTTTCCAAATTTAACCATGAATTTTGAGCAAATGACTTACACATAACTTGTTACATTACAACGCAGCTTTGACTACCCCCCCCCCCCCAAAAAAAAAAAAAGGACTGTCGTAAGAAGATCAACTTAATTAGCAACCGACAAGTGTGGTTAGCTGGAGTTCACAGATTCTAATAATTGAAAAGGACCATTATATTAGCGAATCCAAGTATATCATCATTATATATGTATATGAATTAAATATAAACGTAACCTTCATGGACAAACAATACTTTCACAATCAGAAGATCCAACTCAATTATAATCAAAATGTCAATTAAATTAGTCCACTTGTATATAAGCAAGACTTGTTTTCTTATTGTTTTCCTCTCACTAAAGAAGTACGTAAAAATTGTTTTGAATAAACAACTCTTACAGCCAACGAGTCACATAGATCGAGAAAATAAAAATTAATAGTTGTATAAGATTCAGAAAAGATGATGACTTAAATGTTGACAAAACAAGAAAGACGATAACCTAAATAAATATAATGAATCATATAAGAAGAGCCTCAGAAATCTCACCAACTCTTTCTCTCTCTCTTCCATTGCATTGCTTCATCTCTGTTTTTCTCCTCTACCTCCACCTCTTCTACTATTCTGGTCTATCTCTTACACACGCAAATACGTATATATACATACACACATTCACTTCAGATTCTTGATTTGGGAAAGAGAGAAGATTCAATAGAAAAACTTACTTAGTTCCTTGATTTTTTTTTGCCTTCAAACCCTAAAGGGTAGTTTTCTATATATATTCATTTAGATTTTTTGTTTTGTAGTCTAATGGATCTAACAGACCGTCGTAACCCTTTTAATAACTTGGTATTTCCGCCGCCGCCACCTCCAACGAGGACTTTCACAAGCCCTATTTTCCCACGAACAAGCTCCTCCGGCACGAGTTTCCCCATTCTCGCCATCGCAGTGGTCGGAATCTTAGCCACTGCGTTCTTGCTTGTGAGTTACTACATCTTCGTGATCAAATGCTGTCTTAACTGGCACCAAATAGACATCTTCCGCCGCCGCAGACGAAGCAGTGACCAAAACCCTCTAATGATTTACTCCCCTCATGAAGTCAACAGAGGACTCGACGAATCCGCCATTAGAGCTATCCCAATCTTTAAGTTCAAGAAGAGAGACGTTGTTGCAGGAGAAGAAGATCAGAACAAGAGCTCTCAAGAATGCTCTGTTTGCTTGAACGAGTTTCAAGAAAACGAGAAGCTGCGGATTATTCCAAACTGCTGCCACGTGTTTCACATAGACTGTATCGACATTTGGCTTCAGGGGAATGCGAATTGTCCCTTGTGTAGAACCAGCGTTTCTTGCGATGCAAGTTTCCCTCTCGACCTAATCTCTGCACCGAGCTCTTCCCCGGAGAACAGCCCTCCTTCTCGGAACCGGAACCTTGGACCCGGTATGGTATTAGGAGGTGACGATGATTTTGTCGTGATCGAGCTTGGGGCCAGTAATGGTAATAACAGAGAAAGCGTGAGAGACAGAGACTTCCTTATGGAACAAGAAAGGGTTGCTTTGGACGAGGTGGTAACCGGACACACCCCAAAATTAATCAGTACGTCGCCTAGAAACATTGATTATCGAGCAATGCATAAGAAGGAGAGAAAATTTCACAAAGTGATAAGTATGGGAGACGAATGCATCAATACTCGAGGCAAAAATGAGCAATTTGGTGAAATTCAGCTCATAAGAAGATCGATATCAATGGATTCATCAGCGGATCGTCAGCTGTATCTGGCTGTGCAAGAAGCGATTAGCAGGAGAAAGGAGCAGATTCCTGTGGCCAGAGACGGTGGAGGTTATACGGAAGATAGTAGCAGTAGTAGTGGACCTAGTGGTAATAACAGAGTGATGAAGAGATGTTTCTTCTCTTTTGGAAGTAGTAGAAGTTCGAAAAGTTCATCAATATTACCAGTCTATTTGGAACCCTAATTGTAGCTTTTCTCTTCATTCTTTATTTTTATATTTTGATTTTGTGTATTTTATTTGTTATTTTTCTGAGGTGAATTTATAAAAGATTGTCATTGACGGTTGAAGTAGGAGAGACAGACAGACATATATATATGATTTTGTATGTAGTGAGCACCTATATATATATATGCATGTAGGTGCTCACTGCTTTTTCCTTTTTCCGCTATATGTGTTCACAGTTCACTGTTGATAAGTCAAAGGAGTTGATGAGTACTTGAAATACGTAGGTAGTGCCATAGGAGTCACAGTATAGGAGTCACAGTGTACAGTGTTTTCATTAATGCGTTGGTAATTTTCTCAAGTTTTTAATATAACCCAAACTAAATACAACAGGCCCAAGAAGCTATTTAAAGGCGTGAAGGCCCACAAAACAGAACATAACCTCAGGAGCCATGTGGAACAGAGCTAGAGTCTCTCTATTAGAGTAAGATCATCCTCGTTGGGGTATCTTAGGAGGTTAAGATACCCCCACTTTTTCAAAAAAAGTATGTTATATAAGAATTTTCTTTGGAAAAGTGGGGGTATCTTAGTCTATGAGGATGCCCTAAGGTAGTAAGGTAGTAGACAAATCTTTTTTAGGCGTCACAAGTGAAGTAAGTTTTCTAAAGCTCATGATCTTGCATCTCTTCAAGAACACTTAAAGGAACGCCGTGATTGATCACCTGGAATAGTCCCCACTTCTCTGCAGCGTCTTTGATCTTCTCCACAAGGCCTTCTCTCGCGACACGTGGAGTTCTGCAAAATCGATGATGGGTACTGCTTTCGTCTCGTTGAAAGCTCTGCGCTCACTATAAGATGAGAACTGGATGGTTGAATATTTGAGTTTGGTGTGTTCGACTTCCTGCCGACGACCCGATTTTGCTGACCGTGACTGTAGTTTATGACATTATGTAACCATGTTTTTTTTTTCTTGATAAATAATAGTAAACCAATAACAACTACTGAATAATTGGTTTACTTCAACTAGTTCGGTTATTTTCGGTTTGGGATGTTTGTTATAATTGAATGAAAGATTTACTTCTTTACAAAAAAGAAAAGAAAAAAGGCAAAGCAGAGGAACGGAACATTATAAGCTTCCACCTGAGAAAGATTCCGACGAGAAAGATCAGACCTGCGACACACCTTGAGAGACAGAGAAAGATAATGGGTTTCTTCTCTTTCCTTGGAAGAGTCCTCTTCGCTTCTCTATTCATCCTCTCCGCTTGGCAAATGTGAGTTTTCTTTCTCTCGTTCGTTTCTCCCCGATTTGTTTTTGTGATTAGGGTTCGACGACATCTTCTTCCTAGCGAATTTGCTGGATCCGATTTAATTGAGATTCTTCCCGCATAGATTTATGATATTGATTGGTCTAGGAACCAACATCTAGGGTAAATCTAGGGATTTTTTTGTTTTTTTTTTTAACTTCTTTTGTCCGTTGATCTTTTACTATCCACATCTCTTTCTTAATTCAAATTTCCAATTCCTTAATCGATTTTGCATCCCACGAGGTTTCAGCAGTTTTGTAGCTATAGCCTATACGTTATGTGAATACGTTATCTATCAATGTTTGATTTGCTCATTGGTGATCTTATCCCCCACTGCTTTGGAGGGCACTTAAAAAAAAGTTTTCCTCTGTTAGGAAACGAGTTTAATTTATCGTATAGTAGCCGTTTTGTTCATATGGGAATACAAATCTGTTTGGCTCAGAATTTCACCCCTTGTTTCTTCGTTGACTCTCTAGTCTTATGTTTAGAACCTAATTAGATATATGACTATGCATCTCGGGACATCTTATTTAGGTTCAATGACTTTGGAGCTGACGGTGGTTCAGCAGCTAAAGAGTTAGCTCCAAAGCTTGATCTGACCAAAGCCCATCTCTCTTCCAGATTTGGAGTAGCGTTGCCCAACTTAGAGGTATGGACATTGCTCTTTATCTTATTGAGTAGTGGTTCCTTGTCTTTAATGCTGTCTAGATTTTTATGTTTCTGTCTGACTTGGAAAACGAACTTCAACAGGTGAAACAAGTGGTATGGACTATTGTTGCTCTGAAAGGACTTGGAGGCTTACTCTTTGTTATCGGCAACATCTTTGGTGCCTATCTTCTGGTTAGGATTTCTTCACTTTTTGTTAAAAAAAATAATATCCAAAGCTAAGTTGTTGTATTGACTTTGGATTTCAATTTGTTTATTTCTTAGGCTGTCTACTTGGTGGTTATTAGTCCCATTTTGTATGATTTCTACAACTACGGACCCGAGGACCGCCAGTTCTCTCTTCTATTGACTGAATTCCTGCAGGTTTGATTAAACACTTTTTCTTCATCATTTACTCGTTTTAGCTTGTTTTTGCCATGGGACAGGTTCTTGTTCTTCGAGCTGAACTTACTCTTGAGTGAAGAATGTTCCCTTGGGGCCTCTTCTGAAAACCCAAATCCTCTTTGATAGAGTTCTCATTCTTTTGCATTGATGTTTGATCCCAGAGCGTTGCGCTTCTCGGGGCGTTGCTCTTTTTTATCGGGATGAAGAATTCAACGAAGACTTCCAAGGTGATTCTGAAGAAAAGGACTCCCAAGCCTAAAGCTGCTTAGAGTTCTTCCATTCTCTCGTCCACAGACAAATCAGGCTTCGGGTCTCTCCAAGCATTACCGTTATTTATCTCCTTTCAACTTTTGTTTCTTTTTCTATTGGTAGGATATTAGAAAATCAACCATATTTTGTATTCTTCTCTATTAATTTTGATTTAACTTTGGGGATGTACGAGTTTTCTTCTGCTAAATCATACTATTCTTTCCAGTGATATTAAATTTGGGTCGAGAAGATATGATTTATTGTTTTGGCCTTTGAGGTCATCATCCCGTTTAGAGCCGTGGGTTTGTTTGGCTCGATATTTTGTTATGCAAACAGGTCAAATTCCTTACAACCGTTTTGAACTTATAAAAAGTTGTATTTACATTGGAATGTCTAGTTTAATAAATCCAACGGACAAGCTTAACACGATATCACATCAATAAATTTTGTCATATCTGACTTGTGTTTTGAATAAAGGTGTATAGAGAACCTAAACCGCTAATTATTTATGTGATAATTATAATATAAGAGATTTTTGATTAATTTATTCAAAGATATATTACCTTTTGTTTTAAACTAGAATATGATTCTTTCCATTATATGTGGCACACAAAATCTCTCAAAATAAATAAATAGGTAATCAAGGTATTGGTTAGTCTAAAGTTGGTATATGAAAAAAAAAAGTTATATTATCTCTTTGGTCTAAAGTTCGTTCATATGGTCTTTATCACTTATCTTTTGCTTTTTAGAAATAAACTCATTCAATATTAACAAAAGCTACGAACAATCCCAAAAAAAACAACTAATTAAACTGAGATAATTTGTTTTGCTTCGGAAATAACTGTCACGAGCTGAATAATTTAACAATACCTATATTTAGGCCAAATACATAAAGGACCTAGAGTTAATAATTTTGTGTGTTTATAATTAACTCAACAATACCAAAAATTTGGATAATTTTTAACCTCAAAATTTTATATTCGGGTGCTTGTTTTTATTTTTAATAGTCCTCATAAAAGAGAATATAGTCAAACATATAATTTAGTAGTTTAGTCTAACTAGTGAAAAAGGGAAAACACTTGACACAAAATAAAAAGCAAAAAATTAAGAGATTCGACCGTTTAACGAAAACACAAGCCAAGCACACACTCTTTAAACACTCCATTCTCTCTATATATACACACGCCTACTCATCATATAAAGATATTAACAAAAACTTACAACAAGAAGCTCCGGCGATGTCATCAACGGCGAGAAATATTTCCACCGGAGGGAACCGAAAGTCGAGTAGGCTGCAGCGGCGTGCTCCACCGCCTCTAAAGATAAACCCTTCCGAAGCGAATTGGAAAGTGGCTATTCCTCTTTTATCACCTACTGAGTCGCCGCCGCATAAGCCATCGGCTGTAGTGAAAAGGGAGGACCAACGGTGGGGAAAAGAGGCGGAGAAGCCCCCGATTTTCAAGAAGTGGCAGCACCCTGCGGCTCCGTTTTATTACCAGCCTGCGCCGTCATCGAACCAGCCGTTTGCATGGCCAAATTAACGTTCTCTTGATAATATTAGGTCTAGCAAACAAATACCTAAATATTTATTATGCTTATCATATGTGATAAAATTACATATGTTATGTTTATTTTTAACATATTATATATTATGTATTATCTTTAATTATGCAACATGTATGTTTGGTTATTGATGTTGTTATTTCCTTCATGTAAGTTGAACCATGAATTATAATATAACTCTTATTTCGCATTATACTATGTAACTTTGCATTATAATTTATGTGGCAATTGTAATTAATTATCGATATTCGTTTGGCACTACAAAATATAAATTTTCGTAATGAATTTCGGCAAGTAAATTAGACATGTCTAATATATAGGTGTTTTCTTCCAGTTGTAGACTCTCTTATCATTTGATAGCCGTATAAGCAGGTGACCAAAATAAAGTAAAAAGAACGACATATTAATAATTTAATATAGTTCGGTTTATCTTGGAACTCATGAGCTAATTATAAGAGTTTTAGGTCTGTTCGTAGTATAGTTGAAATCAAGAAAGAAGGCAACATTAAATACTACGCGAAACCGAAACGTATAAATTAATAAGAAGTTTTCAGATCCGTATACAAACCGTATCAGTCCCTCCCCTCCTGCATGCCCTTATAAGCGAAACGTCTATCAAAACACTTTACACACTAGTCTTGTACTGATCTCGCCTTTACTTTAATTATAGACAAAGATCTCTGTGGTCTCATGCAAAAAGAAAGTAAAGATGATTCTGTGTACATCTGTTTTGATTTGCATATGTATTGGCTTATATGGAAAAGGTACATGCATCTATTTTTCTTTTATTTCTTTGATAAAGAAGTATTTATGATGCATGCATTCATTCGTACACAGGGATTTCTCAAAGACAGAGACATTTGTATTGTGTTTTTGTGACCAGAATGTGGACTGAAAAAGTTAAAGGAACCAGCACGTGTTCATCACTCGACACGTGGCAAAATACATTTGAATTCAAAAAACAAATATTGCACCAGCCGGGAATCGAACCCGGGTCTGTACCGTGGCAGGGTACTATTCTACCACTAGACCACTGGTGCGTTTGTTACTGACGATACATTTAATAAATATATAATCGTAGTTTTTGTTATTTGTACTAATTTACTTGGGCAATCAAAATATACGGTTTTTCATGTGTACAATGACAATTACCCAAATGAGACAATTGCCAATAAAAATATAGTACCGTAGTAGTAAAAGCGATATATATTTTAGTGATTTTATTTGGATCCAAAGAGATGCTGCTTGCACTAAAAAGAGACTCATTTTCTGAAAAGAGTTAAGTTGCGGTTGGTCCCCGCACAAAAATAAAATAAAAAATTGATTCGGTATGTTATTGAATAAAAAGATGGAGTGTTTAACTAAATCATGTCTTAAGCTAGCTAGGTTGGTCAGTCTAACGTGTTACAAACGAAAACCCCGAAAATTAGTATGCATGTTTATTTAATAGTCTATAAAATTTATATATCTCGAAGCAGTACTTGAATAAACTAACTAACTTATGTTTATCATGTGAGCCTGTTTAATTTTTAATACGTTAAGTTATGATTGTTTAAAGAACTAATTGTTTCAATGTAAAACATTGATATAGTAGTCATGCGATCAAATCATTGACAAGGCAAAATTATTGAATGATTAACATATAATAAGACATCAAACATACCGAGCCCATGGTATTATTATATTCATTTAATCGAATTAATATCTTTAAAATCCATGTAAAAATCATCCATAATAGGAAAAAATTAAACCAATTTTCATATAAAAAAAAATAAAAGGAAAAAGGACCAATAAAAGTAGTAGATAGGATATTTACAGTTATGAATAAGAAATGTATACCTAAAAAAGAAAGAAAAAGATAAAAGGGGGGAGGAATTGAATTTGGTAAGAGTCCACGTAAGGTCAAGAAGAAGAAGAAGAAGAAGATGTCGTGCTCGTGTTGTGTTCCAAACCAAAAGCCCGTCTATGTTCTCTTCATGTACCGTTTCTTTGGCCCCACCTCCCTCCTTCTTCTCTCTCTCTCTCTCTCTCTCTCTCTCTCTCTCTCTCTCTCTCTCTCTCTCTCTCTCTCTCTCTCTCCTCAAAACGTAAATTTACTCGCAGACGCAGAGAGACAGAGACAAAGAGAGAGAGAGAGACAGAGACATTGAGACTTCACACAAATTTTACTCCCATAGAGCTCTCTCTCTCTCTCTCTTTCTACATTCTGATGAGCTTCATGAGATCGAGGGAGAGACATTCACAGAACAAACCCACAAAGTGTTGAGACTCGTTTCCTTCGTAAACTTTTTTAAAAGTGAGATTTTTTTGGCTTGATCGTTTTGTTTAAGACTAGTTTACTTGCAGGTACTGCTTTCTGAAAATGTGATATGGTTTTATTCCTCATCTGATTTTGCTTTTTCCCCCGATTGCACATGTTTGTAAGGAATCAGTAGATTTTTGCTCTTTTTGTTGTTCATCGTTTCATATATTTTTGTGATTAATAAATTTGGTTGGTGAAACAAGAAAATCTTAATCGCATAATGTTTTTCAATTAACTTTACTCTTCTTTAAAACCAAAGTTTTGAATTTTGCATCTTTCTGATTTTTGATTTTCCCCAAGATGTTTCATCGGTAAAGGAACAGTCTTTCAAAATTCCAATCTTTGACGCATATTTATTTAATTGAAACTCTCGAATTTGGATTCTGGGTACGAAGCAAAAGCTCTCCTTTTTTTTTTTAATTTATTAAATTAATATTTTTTTTGTTCTCAGGAAAGAGCAGTAATCGATGTTAAAGACATTGTTAGTTCAATGGCTTGTGTTCTTGTTGTTAATCGGCTCCGTCGCCGCCTCCGGGGAAGACGACGATAGCTTGTCGATATGCAACTGCGACGACGAAGACATTTTCTTTAGCTTCGAGTCAATCCTCGAATCGCAAAAAGTCGGCGACTTTCTTATCGCTATCGCTTATTTCTCGATCCCAATCGAGCTTCTCTACTTCGTTAGCCGCACCAATGTGCCTTCACCGTACAATTGGGTCGTGTGCGAGTTCATAGCCTTCATTGTTCTCTGTGGCATGACCCATCTCCTCTCTGGTTTCACCTACGGCCCTCACTCGTCCTGGGTCATGACAGCTGTCACCGTCTTCAAGATGCTCACTGGGATCGTCTCTTTCCTCACCGCACTCTCGTTGGTCACTCTCCTACCCTTGCTCCTTAAGGCTAAGGTTCGTGAGTTCATGTTGAATAAGAAGACTAGAGAGCTTGATCGTGAGGTTGGCATCATTATGAAGCAGACTGAGACCAGTTTGCACGTTCGTATGCTCACTACCAAGATTAGGACATCTCTCGATCGCCACACGATCCTGTACACGACGCTTGTGGAGTTGTCCAAGACTTTGGGGCTCAAGAACTGTGCGGTTTGGATCCCCAATGAGATCAAGACGGAGATGAATCTGACGCATGAGTTGAGACCTGATGGTGAGAATGTGGGTGAGTTTTCAATACCGATTACTGAGTCTGATGTTGTGAGGATTAAGAGAAGCGAAGAGGTCAATATGTTGAGCCCTGGCTCTGCGCTTGCCTCCATGACTAGCCGAGGCAAACCAGGTCCTACGGTTGGGATAAGAGTCCCCATGCTTCGGGTTTGTAACTTCAAAGGTGGAACACCTGAGGCTATCCACATGTGTTATGCAATCTTGGTTTGTGTGCTTCCGTTGCGTTTGGCCCGGAACTGGACTTATCAAGAGCTGGAGATTGTTAAGGTTGTTGCTGATCAAGTGGCGGTTGCCATCTCTCATGCCGTGATTCTTGAAGAATCTCAGCTTATGAGAGAGAAACTCGCGGAACAGAACCGAGCGCTTCAGGTGGCAAGGGAGAATGCGCTGAGAGCTAATCAAGCCAAGGCTGCGTTCGAGCAGATGATGAGTGATGCAATGAGGCGTCCTGTGCGGTCCATTCTCGGGTTGCTTCCTTTGATAATTCAGGACGGGAAATTACCTGAGAACCAGACGGTTATCGTGGATGTGATGAAGAGAACCAGCCAGTTACTTTTACAGCTTGTAAACAACGCTGGGGATATAAACAGCGGGAGAATGCGCGCTGCAGAGGCACATTATTTTAGTTTGCATTCTGTTGTGAAGGAAACAGTTTGCTTGGCGAGGTGTTTATGCGTGGGGAACGGTTTTGGTTTCTCAGCTGAAGTTTATAGAGCATTGCCTGATTACGTAGTCGGCGATGATAGAAGGGTGTTTCAAGTGATCTTGCATATGCTTGGGGTTTTAGTGAACCGCAAGATCAAAGGGAATGTGACTTTATGGGTTTTACCAGAAAGCGGAAACTCACAAGTATTAGAGAGGAAAAATAACCAAGAAGCGGTTTGGCGACAATGCTATTCCAAAGAATACATCGAAGTTAGATTCGGATTCGAGGTAGCTGCAGAAGGTGAAGAGAATAGTAGTAGTAGTGGTAGTAGTAGTAACCTGGAGGAGGGAGAGGAGATACAAAGTCTCGACATCTGCCAAAATATTGTAAAGGTTAGAGAATTGTGTTTGTATTTTTTTTGCTATTGCAGCTGAAACTTGGTTTGAACTCTAATTTTGTTTGGTTGACAGTACATGCAAGGGAATATTCGGGTTGTGGAGGATGGTCTAGGTTTGGTGAAAAGCCTGTCGGTTGTTTTCAGGTTCCAACTCCGGCGATCGGTAATGTCGCGGGGCGGTGGATATTCTGGAGAAACGTATAAAACCTCAACTCCGCCATCTACTAGTCACTGATCATTGGGGTGGACTGTAGTAGAAAAGAGACCTAAGGGTGGAATCTGAAAATTTGTAAAAATAGTAGGGCGGATTGAGATAACAGAGAGCGAGAGGCGCAAAACGTTGTCGTTTGGTTGTAAGAAAGTTAACTAGGTTTAACCTATTATCATGTAGGCAAAAGCTATGGTTCAGACTTGTTACTTGCTGGATAACAGAACTGAAAGTTTTTTTTTTAAAAAGGTGTGTCCGAGGATGTTCTTTTTTATGTTTGTTGTCTCATCGATGTGTAGTTGGATTGTTAAGTAGAGCAAACAAAACTAGCTAAGTGTGTATTCTTAAACGGATTGAAAGATTTGACCAAAAAAAAAAAAAAACCGATTGAAAGATTAACAAAGCCTAAACTCCTTTTGTAAAATATTTGATATAGTATTTAGTTTAGTAAACCCTTAAACAGGCAAATCCAATGATTTGGTTATAAAATTTATAAACAATTTATGTTATGGTTATTATAGAAATTAAACAAAATAATTAGTAAATGGTTAAAAGTGACTGTATGTGAACTCAGTTGTTTTGGATCTATATTAGTCGATTGGACGAGTGTGGAAAAAGACAGTATGAATCATTATACATACGAATTTAAGAATTTTTAAGAGTTTTAGATTAATTAAGTTATTTTTTTTTGTTAATAAAATAAGGTTTTTTTTTTTTTTGGGTTTCCCTGTGAGTGTGTGTGTTATTTTTTTTTAATACAGAGAGAGAGAGCTGTTTCGTGCGACCTCTCTTTCTCTCTCTGTGTCTCTCTATTTATCTCTCTTTTCATTCATCCGGTTGTCTTTTTTCCTTTTGGTTTGGTTTGGTCTCTCTCTCTCTCTCTCTCTCTTTTGAAGAATCTCTAACGAGAGCAGCTGCCATATAACGAATTAAGATTTTCTCTTTGCTCTTTCTTCCACCCCCTCTCTCAGGTTTGCTTCTTCTTCGATCTACACGATAAGCCCCCCCCCTCCCCTTTTTGTATATCATCTTTGGTCGGATTTTGCGAGGCTTAGGTTCCGTCCCCTCCTATTACAGCAGTCTTTCCTTCTTCTTAATTTACGACAGCGGTTTTGTGATTTGTCCGATCGTTGATTCCATCTGGGCTTTGTTATTTAGTTTCCGATGTTAATTAAGATGTTTCTCTGCAGATTTGTAGCTGATTGATTGATAGATATGAATTGTGTTGTTATTATAGTCTTGTTTCCTCTTTAATTTTTTCGGCTCAATTTTTACTTTTTTGGGATTTTTTTAGGGTTTATTGCCCCCCTCGATGATCTGATTTGGGTTTTAAGGGTTTCGATTTTTAAGCCAATCTAGAAAATTTAATTTTGCTGATTGATAAGTGTTTGAAGATCGTTGATAATATGATCGTAATTACAAGTTTGGAGATCGTTGAATATATCTTCTTCTTCTTTGCCCATTTCAGTGACCAAATCGTTTTGATTCAATATTTTTGATTTGCTCCGTTGGGTTAATTTTGTGTTCTAGTTAAAAGGAGAGAGAGCTTTGACGAAAGATAAATTCATCGTGGGGAATGGCAGAGACTGTTAATGAAGATTCTGGAGTTGGAGGACGATCAGTAGAGGAGAGTTCTAATGGACAATCAGGAGAAGCACTCTCTGAGTGGCGCTCTTCTGGTCATGTGGAGAATGGGACTCCGTCCACTTCCCCCTCTTACTGGGATATCGATGAGGACGATGATTATGGTATCTCTTTTCTTTTCCCTGTGGGATTAGCTTCTATAATTAATTTCTAGTTTGTACAATTGAAAGTTCTTGGAGAAATGTGAATGATTCTGTCCTTGTAGTTGGTTCAGGAGTGCCAGTAATGTACTAGAGATTTTTTTCTGTTTCTTTGTTGTCTATTTCAGTTTTGTACCATGTAATATTCTTATATACTTCTTTGTGTGTGTTTCAGCTGTTTAACGTGAATATCATTATTTTCCCCAGGCCTAAGACCCTCTGAATTATTTGGAAAACATACTTGGAAGATTCCGAAATTTAAAGAAATCAACAAAAGGGAGCTCCGTAGCAGTATTTTTGAAGCTGGCGGCTACAAATGGTACATGCCATCGCTTTATCTCTCTCATCCTTATATCTCGTCTCTCAACAAATAACTCGGGATGTGATTGTTGACCCTCTGTTTCATTCTATTTATCTTCAATGTGACAGGTATATTTTAATTTATCCACAAGGATGTGATGTTTGTAATCATCTCTCCTTGTTTCTCTGTGTTGCAAACTATGATAAACTTCTTCCAGGTTAGTATTTTTGTTCACTGCTCTGCATTGTCCTTTTTTCTCTCTGGATACCTGGTCATGTAGGTTCTTTTGCTCTGTTGGAGTCAGGCTGGAGTCAATTCGCGCAGTTTACTATATCTGTGGTGAATAAAGATATAAAGAAATCGAAGTATTCTGGTGAATTTTTCATTCTTATAGCATTTCCACTCGTTTAAATATGCAGACAACTGACTTCACTTCTTTCAGATACATTGCACCGGTTTTGGAAGAAAGAGCATGATTGGGGATGGAAAAAGTTTATGGAGTTACCTAAATTACAGGAGGGGTTCATAGATGATTCTGACTGTCTTACAATTGAAGCTCAGGTGCAGGTGATCAGGTAATGCAAGTTTGACTCCATTGTAAATCTATGAGTATAAAAATTACCACACCGCCAATTCTTACATGTTGCCATTTACTTACAGCTCCATAGGTTCATATGTATGTCATTTATACACATGTGTGATAAGATTGTACTCTTTCATTTCTTCGGTATCACTGATTTATGCATTGTGGAACATATTCCTATTATTGGTCTTTGCAGGGAGAGAGTGGACCGACCTTTTCGATGCCTTGATTGTGGTTATAGGAGAGAACTTGCTCGGGTGTATTTGCCAAATGTAGAGCAAATTTGCCGGCGTTTTGTTGAAGAGAGAAGAAGCAAGCTCGGGAGGTTGATAGAGGACAAGGCAAGATGGAAAAGGTATTTCACATTTCAACTTGTGCTCTTAACTCCTCCAGATTTCAGAAATGCAATCATAGTGCATTGCTATTTGTGATGATAAGTAAACAGGAAGTACTGGGGTTACTTTGCCTCTTCGTTTGAGTAAACTATGCAATGTTAGAATATATTGTTTTCCACTATGCCTTTCGAGTCCAAAAATAAATTTTGTTTAGTTTAAATTTTTAATCGGTGGTTGTGGCTCTCCACTATCTCTGATTTACAAGTCTTGATAGCCAAGGCTGAGATGCTGGGACGGAAAATCCCTGAAAGAGGATGTGGGAATTTTTCTGTAGTTCAACACACTTGTTGAAGGCCAGGATTTACACCAATATAGTATAGTACTGTTGCCTTACTTTTATACTTCCTGTGTTATATTTTTCTCTGAAAGTTAAGCAATATTCCCTAAAAGGAGTGGATTATCATTCTTGGTTGCAGCTTCGGTGTTTTCTGGTTAGGGATGGACCAAAACTCTAGGCGCCGGATGTCTAGAGAGAAAATGGCTGTAATCCTAAAAGGAGTTGTAAAACAGTTTTTCATAGAAAAAGAAGTTACATCCACTTTGGTGATGGATTCCTTGTATAGTGGGTTGAAGGCTCTTGAAGGTCAAACTAAGAACACGAAAGCTAAGCCAAGACTGTTAGATTCCAAGGAATTGCCAGCTCCGATTGTTAGCGTGGACAAAGATATGTTCGTATTAGTTGATGATGTGCTGTTACTCCTAGAGAGAGCTGCTCTAGAGCCATTGCCTCCAAAGGATGAGAAAGGCCCCCAGAACCGCACAAAGGTCGGCTTCATGGGTTATATAACTAATATTTTGGCCGTAATTCTGTTATCTGTTATCGTATCTGCAGTCATTTTTGTGTTCAATTTTGTCGTGTGTCTTATCGGTTATTCCGTTTCAGATGACTTGTTACATTATCCACTAGAAAATTACTTGTAGTGATAAATAACGTTTTGTTCTTTGATGCAAATCTAGGATGGCGATGATGGAGAAGAGGTCAACAAAGAAGCCTATGAGCGTGATGAGAGACGTTTAACTGAGCTTGGTAGACGAACTGTGGAGATATTTGTTCTTGCCCATATCTTCAGGTAACAATGCCTAATATGTTTATATATGACATGCCATTGTATTACTCCTTGATGTGCTTATGTATCATACTTCAATATCTCTGAGAACTGCAGCAGTAAAATTGAGGTTGCATATCAAGAAGCTATTGCCCTCAAAAGGCAGGAAGAACTTATTCGTGAGGAAGAGGAAGCATGGTTGGCTGAAAGCGAACAGAGGGCCAAAAGAGGAACAGCCGAGAGAGAGAAGAAATCTAAGAAGAAACAGGTGTGATACTTTTAGCTCCTTCTGCTTGTCCTCTACAACTTGTTGGATGTTGATGGGAGTTTCTTTGGTTGTTGAACATTTGTAGGCGAAACAGAAACGGAACAAAAATAAAGGGAAGGACAAAAAGAAGGAAGAAAAAGTGAGTTCTATGACACATGAAAAGGATCTTGGGGAAAACCAAAACGATGAGGAAGAAAAGGATTCTGTCATAGAGAAAGCACAATCCTCAGCTGAAAAGCCTGATACTCTTGAAGATGTGTCCAACATATCTGATTCTGTGGATTTTTCAGCTGAAATTCTTCAGCCTGATTTAGAAGATAGGGATAGTAGCTCCGTTCATTGGGATACTGACGCTTTAGAACTTCATCCTCCATCATCAGGAGGGAGCATTAGAGGAAGAGGCATTTCCATAGCTACATCCAATGGAATTGCAGAAGGAAAGAGTCAGTCCACTATGGATGATAGTTCTTCAACTTGTTCTAATGATTCTATCCTGTCGGGGGTTACCAATGGGTCGTACCAAGGGAATGCCTTGAATTTCCGAAACCAGAAGTCGCCGAACAAGTAAGTTTGTTTTGACTCCCCATGTTTCCTTGTATCTTCTCAGTTCTGAATCCTGATGATACGCCTTGTGATTTGCAGAGGCAAGAACCAACAAGTAAAAGCAACATCTGATGCCCACAGTTTACCGAGTGAGACAGATGATCAACCTTCAACACTTGCAACAGACCCAAAGAGTCGGAATTATTCTTCCGAGGCAAGCAACGCTGGTGAATCTGATTGGGTTGTTGTCTCCCACATCCAGGAGTCAGAGGGTTCTCGAAATCGTAATCTTGTTGGGAAGGTTGGTCATTCATGCTTTTAGTGCTTGAAATTAGAAAATCGCTGATTCAACTATTGGTTTCATGCAAAGAATTCCAGAATTTTACAGTTAGTTGTCTGTTTTTCAAATCTATTTTGCAGGAACGCAACATGGCTCAAACCACTGTGAACTCGGTCGACATGGATCGACCTAAAGAGAAAAGCACTGCTGTACTTTCTTCTCCCAGAAGTGTTGCCAAGTATTCTTCACCATTAACTCCAACAAAACCGGAGAAAAAGAGTTTTTCAACCGCAGATGCTATTCCGAACAGGAAAGTAGTGTCAGCAACTGGACCACATTCACCAAGTCAAGTAGTGCCTTCTTCGGATATTCAGTCTCAAACTGTTGGCCTTAGAGTTGATATGCAAAAAATCTCTGCTCCAAAACAACCAGCAGCAACAACAACTATATCAAGGCCTTCTAGTGCTCCAATAATCCCTGCGATGCAACCCGCCCCTACCACTGTCTCTTCGCCGGTTCAAATGACGACATCCCTTCCCCGCTCGGTTAGCTCAGCTGGTCGTCTAGGTCCTGATCCATCCCTACACAATCAGCAGACATTCACTCCGCAATCCTATAAACATGCGATAGTTGGTAACTCTCTTGGCTCATCATCTAGTTTCAACCACCACCCAAACTCTCATGGAGTTGTCCAAACCACATTGCCATCATCATCTTACTCGCAAACACCGACATCATCTTCTTATCAGCCGAGCTTCCCTTTCAACCAAGATGGTGGGCACTTGTGGACAGGAAGGAATTCGAATTCTGTAAACATTGGCATGAACAACCCTTACACAAGCGCCGCCACTAGCAACAGATCCCTGAACCACATGGACATTCAGATAGCGCAGCAACAAGCACAGAGCTTAATGATAGATGAGTTTCCTCACCTGGACATCATCAACGATTTGCTGGAAGACGAACAGTGCAGCAACATGGTGTTTAACGGAAGCATATTCAATCCACAACAAGAACAACAACAAGTGTTCAACGGGGGGCAGTACTCAACATACCATGGTGATGCAGGTGTGTCATTGTCTGGTAGCAGGTCGAGGAGTTTTGGAGAAGAAGGATTACATTACATGCCAGGAGGAGCATATGTAGATGGTGTGATGCCGACACAGTGGCAAATGGCGAACATGGACTTGTCTATGCTAGCAATGAGGAACAATAACATAGAAGATGCAGCAAATTACCGTCAGACATACTTTGGAATGGATGCTGGGAACCAGGGCGGGATAAACGGGTACACAGAGTACAGGCCAGCGAATGGTCACTGAGAGAGAGAGAGAGAAGAGAAGAGGTGGGTTTTTAACCTCAGCAGGCATGCTCTCTCTGAGGAAATGAAGCAAATGGAGGAATTGGGATTTGTAATGTTTTTTTTTTTTTTTTTAATATAAAAAAAGGAAAAAAGAAAAGGAAATCATGGAAAATACAATTTGTGTAAAGAGAGAGTTTGTCTTTGTCTTGTTGCTCTCCTCTACGTTTCAAATGAATTTCTTTTTTTCTTTCTTTCTCATATATTTTATATATATATATTAAGATAGCTTTCCATATATATACAACTTTTAGCCTGGACGTCCTTTCAAATTTATATATATAATTAAATAAATTAGTAATTAGTCCTTCATTTATCTTCAAAAGCTAAATTGCTCTTATTAAATTTATATTTTGTGGTGAAATTATGTTAATGATTGTAAGAAAAAGAAATTGTCATAGTCTGGTTATACAACAGTGGTCGTCCTCACCCAAAAAAAAAAATACAACAGTAGTCGAATTATATTTTTCGCTTGACTAAATCTGATTAGGTCTTAATCTCAACGAGAGAGATAAATGTGAGCCCTTGAATATCTGATCCAAAAAAAAAAAAAAACAGAGAACATCCTAAAATAAATAAAAAAAACACATGGATCATGACAGTGTCCTTTGAATTGAAAAAAAAAGAGGAAAAATTCCAAAAGCAAGCTAACCCAAAAGAAGAAGGAGAATGGATCTAGAATCGGTAAAGCGTTATCTGGAAGGAGATGGAGAAGAAGAGAGCAAGGCAAAGGAATCAAAAGTGGCGAATTTGCCACACAGGTTCCTCGAGAGATTCGTAACGAATGGTCTCAAAGTGGATCTCATCGAGCCTGGCCGTCTCGTCTGCTCCATGAAAATCCCTTCTCATCTCCTCGTAAGTGCTTTTTTTCTTTTGCTTCAATCTACCTCTCTCTCTCTCTTTTTCCCAAATTGAATAAATGAATGGTGTGTGTGTGGCTGAGGAAAGAACGCAGGGAATTTCTTACACGGGGGAGCAACGGCGACTCTGGTGGATTTGATTGGATCGGCTGTCATTTACACAGCCGGTGTTTCACATTCCGGTGTTTCTGTCGAGATCAATGTCTCTTACCTTGATGCTGCTTTCCTTCATGTACTCTTCTTTCTTCCTTTTCATCTCTCTCTCTCTCTCTCTCTCTCTCTCTCTCTCTCTCTCTCTCTCTCTCTCTCTCTATTTCTTTAACTTTTTTTTTTTTTACTTTCTATAAAAAAGCGAATTGAGATGAGATAGTTTTTGTGGTGAATTATAAATAAACAGGAAGAGATAGAGATAGAATCAAAGGCGTTGCGTGTGGGTAAAGCTGTTGCAGTTACTAGCGTTGAGCTCAGGAAGAAGAAGAATGGTAAGATCATTGCTCAAGGTCGCCATACCAAGTACTTTGCTCCTCGTTCCAACCTCTGATCAATATCACTCTGAACAATTTGCCTTATCATAATCTTTTATTATATTATTCTTCTGGTTGTTTTTAGTCTAAGAGATCACTCATATGGTTTCACTCACTCCAGTGATTTAGCCCTATATAGATAGGAATAAAACTATCTTTTATGATCTCTCTTTTCTTTTCTTTTTTTTAATAATAATAATACAATAGTATGTTGAACTACTAGTTTACATAGACTTGTCTGAATATTTATGTTTACGTCTTCATTTTTTTTTTTTTATATACATAAATTAGTACAAAAGATTCTACTGTCTGATTAGTGTTATGATCTTGTCATGAAAACAGTTTCATTACCGTTTGTAATACTAATAGTTTAATTATTTCGATAAGATAACTGACCTTGCGAAACCCGCATGTTTTCCAAACTTTAAAACAAAGCGTATCGACAAATCCAAATAACCATTTATAAGCTTTAGTATAACTCTTTCTTGAAACACACATCTTCTTACATGGAGGAAACGTTCTGGTTTTAAAACTTTATTACCAATATATAAGCTTTATTAACTCAATGAATGCAGCTAACCACGTCCTCGTCTTAGTAGCGTTCTGTTTTATAAGCTTTACTGTTAACTCTTCATTGAAACACACATCTTAATCTCATTGAACTACATATTACTACTATACTAGACTGGCATAATTAAATTGACAATTATTGAATTTTATTGGAGAGTTTTGTATTTAGTTACACTGTGAGTGAATATTGAATATTCAAAGATGTACAGTATACTACTCCCAATAATTATTTGTAATTAGTGGAAGGTTTAACACGAGCTACACGAGTTTGCGAAAAAAACCAAAGAAAGGGTCATAAAGTTACAACTTTACTCGATAAGAATAATTAATAACAAAATAACGCAGGTGGTGGTGGAGGGATCAGTTTTTTTGTCGAGAAGAATATTATTAGTTCAGATCAAGTAGTATGCTGGTCCAAATATTTTGTTAACTTTTCATGTGTTTTATACATCTTGTAACTTTACACTAGTTTAAAAAAAATATTAGTATGATTGAAATGTCGTAACTAATATGAATAATATTGATACAAAAATTGGTATAAATATTATATAGTATCAATAATACGGCAATTATACTTTTAAACACCACCCCATCAGCAATATAAGTCAGTCATCATCATATTAAATCACTTAAAAAAGAAAAAGAAAAAGGAAAAAATGATAATATAATACACATTAAATCCCACCCACTAGCTACAGATGCATTGTAAAGAAGAGATAGATAGATCACATACAAGAAAAAGTCAGACGCATTTATAGATGAGAAGAGCAAAATCAAAAGCAGAGTTCAATGTTGTGTCGAGTTAGTGCTACACCTCACAGTCTCATTCTTCTTCTTCGTCTTCTTCCCCAAAAAGAAATTAAACAATTTTGTTAGACCCTAAAGGAAATGGTGAATTCTTCAGGTAATGCTCTTCCTCTATCTCTCTCCGTTTACCAAATTAATATTATTTTGTTCCTTTTTAAATATTCTCTCTCTCTCTTGTTGAGTCGTCGCTCGATTTGTTTTGCTATACAAGGAACAAGAGATGTCTCTTGTGGTGAACGTTGTAAAGCATCAGCTCATCTCTTCCTCGCTTCTCTTGGTGGTCTTGCCGCCGTCGCAGCTGCTGCTTTTGCCGGAGAATCACTCCTCCGCCACCGCCGGAAACTTAATCAAGCTGATCCCATGGGCATTAAAGATGAGAAAATCTCCCCTTTTATAATTGAGAGGAAAGATTCGGGTCGACGATCAAACCTCGAGAGGTTCTCCCACTATGTTGGTAAGTCGTATACATTTCAAGATTCAACTTTGCTTCAAGTAAGAAGATATTCAAGATCGTCCAAGAATTACTGTTATGATTACAGAAAAATAGATTAGTATTTCACCATATTTCTTTGCCATACGAAATTTTTGGTATTTTCTGGTGCGCTTCTTTCCCCCAAATTATCATTTGCATATGTGATCATGGAAAAGTATATATGCAAATAAATGAATCTGTGAGGACTTGTATGCAAAAATAACACGTATATGTTTAATCATTTGTGTTTGGACTTTGGGCTTTGATTGATAAGCGATATATTATAATATAACATACATGGACGATGGACCACGTCTCGCCATAAATGGTAGAACGACCTTTCACCCCAAAAAAAAAAAAAGACAAATAGGAGTTGTTAGAGAATTTTGTACAATTTGGAATATTTTTATTTTCTCTATATTCTATAATAATGTGATTGCATGCAGAAACATGCATGTGTGTTGATTAGTATGACAAACATATGTGTAAAAATGCAGCAAGACAGCTAGGATTCGAGGAGCCAAACGAATACCCACAACTATGCAAATTAGCAAATGCATATTTGCTGAAAACGAAAGGGTATGATGAGAATGTGTACGAGTATCTGGTGAATGAAGCTGAGGCTGATTCTCTCTATGTTCATCTCCTTGAAGAATTCGAGAGATGCATTCTCACTTATTTTGCTTTCAACTGGAACCATTCCTCCACCCTCATCTCTCAGGTTCTTTTTTTAAACGAATAAATTTTAATGCGCGCAATTACTTCTATGATCAGTGTATTTTTTTATATAAGGTGGATTAGGTTTTTAATTATTACCCATCTCCAGTAATATGAATAATAAATGTTATCCTATAACTCTATTTTTTTGGCTTTTATTTAACACAAAACAAAAATAAAAAACAGGTGTTAAGCGATGAATCCGACCACAAAGTACCAAAACTCAAGGATTTTGTGATGGCAGCGACAAGGTGACTGATTGTTCCATGAAATATTCTATCATTTCATATAATTAAAGATGAGCAGTTGAACAAACTTGGTAATGCGTAGGAAACAGAGGTTCGATAGGGTGACAAAAGACCTGAAGGTGACAAGGGTAATTTCGACATTAGTGGAAGAGATGAAAGCAATTGGCAGCGGAAGCAGTGAGCCTCACTGTACGGAAGTAATGTCTCCGGTGGCTCACAACAAACGAAGCCCCGTCCTCCTCCTTATGGGTGGCGGCATGGGCGCCGGGAAGAGCACCGTCCTCAAAGATATCCTCCAAGAGTAAATCTTCTGATCAAATGTATACAATAATGTGCTTATTGTACGTATTTTCTTTAATACATGGTCCAAATATTTGTATAGGTCGTTTTGGTCAGAGGCAGAGGCCGACGCGGTGGTGATAGAAGCGGATGCGTTTAAGGAGACTGATGTTATTTATAGAGCTCTTAGCTCTAGAGGTCACCATGACGATATGCTTCAAACTGCCGAATTGGTACGTTAGTTCTTAGGACATCGTTATCAATGGACAAATCGAATTGGTTTCTAGATGTATATATGTACTAAGCCATAAGATATATATAATCATATAACGATACATGCATTATATTTCTTCTTTAATTTAACTTGCTACATTTGTTGTTTATTTTCTTATATATTTTAGGTTCATCAATCATCAACAGATGCTGCATCGTCCTTACTAGTTACAGCATTGAACGAAGGACGTGATGTGATAATGGATGGAACATTATCATGGGAGCCATTCGTGGAACAAATGATCGAAATGGCAAGAAACGTCCACAAACACCGATATCGAATGGGGGCAGGCTACAAGGTTTCCGAAGACGGGACAATAACCGAAGAATATTGGAAACAAATTGGTCAAGAAGAAGAGGCCAAACAAAATGGGAAACAACAAATCTTGAAACCTTATAGAATCGAGCTGGTCGGTGTGGTTTGTGACGCTTATCTTGCTGTAGCAAGAGGCATACGGTAAAAGATTTATCAAAATTCACATTTCCGAGGATATTAACCATCCCTTAGCTAGCTGATGTTATCATGCTAGTCGTGTGACCAAGTTTTTGTTTTTAAAATATGTTACAGGAGAGCTCTAATGGTGAAGAGAGCAGTGAGAGTGAAATCACAATTAGAGTCACACAAGAGTTTCGCTAATGCCTTCCCAAAGTACTGTGAGCTTGTAGATAACGCTAGGCTTTATTGCACTAACGCTGTTGGAGGTCCTCCAAGGGTAAATAAAGTCAAAAGTCAATATCAATACGTAACGATGTCGTTTTGGACGTATATACTGACGTGTTTTGTTTACATTGGTTTGCTGGATGGAGCAGCTTATTGCGTGGAAAGACGGAAGTAGTAAGCTTCTGGTGGATCCGGAGGATATAGAATGTCTAAAACGGGTCAGTAGTCTTAACCCGGACGCTGAATCCATTTACGAGCTTTACCCGGATCCGAGTCAAATATCTAAGCCCGGTTCAGTTTGGAATGACGTAGTTTTAGTTCCATCGAGGCCCAAGGTCCAGAAGGAACTTAGCGATGCAATCAAGAGAATTGAAAAGGCCCAACTAAAAATGTGATGATATTGTGAACTAGACCCCCGAAATTCTTATCTTTTTGTATTTGTCATTTGTTTTTCGTTGTGTTACCTTTTTTTTTTTGTTTTTTTTTCTTCTTTTTGCACTAGCCAAAATAAAGTTAATAAAATTACAAATATGGGATTTTGAGTTTTTTTTTTTTTACGATTGCTTATCAATATAATATTTCAGAAAAAATGTATCTTTCACAAGTGAACTAGTATTCTAAAAAGCGACGGAAAAACAAAAAAAATGTATATGTTTCAATTGTTATGAAAGATTTCAAAATCAAAGTATACAATGAAACTTTTTATAAACTAAAAATATATGAAAGAATTTTGCATTCTGAATCTTGCAAAACTTTAATTTTTGAACTTTTTCTCTGACAAATTCGATTTTTACAATGAGTATAAACCCAAATCATGTCTCCTCTATAAATTATATTCTTGTAACAAGTTAATAATATTTTTTTTAACTATATTAGTCAATTAATTAATCTAATGGTGTAATTATTAAATACATCATCCAATGTTTCCAATCAAAGACCTTGATTTACTAATGGGTCGTTTTGTATAATATAGGGTCAAATAAATTAATGTTAAGAAGGTTTTAGGGTTGATATTGAAATTAATAAATAATACAGACCCTAAAAACAAAATAAGAACTCTTAAAACTAGGGTTCCCCAGTGTCCACTATATATAATTTTAGTCGAACATTTTTCTTCTATTTCTTCCTTGCAAAGACCTCAGCAGCCAACAGTTTCCAAGCTTTAGCCGTTTTAGGGTTTTATCCTTTTGCAGAGATCTAATCATGGTGAGTCTCTTGATACATCTCAATCTCTGAATCTTCGTCTTCTCTGTTTACATTTTCCGATTGCTAAAAACTATGAATGATGGAATCTGCAGGCGGATGTTGAACCAGAGGTTGCTGCTGCTGGAGTGCCAAAGAAGAGGACGTTTAAGAAGTTTGCCTTCAGAGGAGTCGATCTCGATGCTCTTCTTGATATGTCTACTGATGACCTTGTCAAGCTCTTCCCTGCTCGTATTCGCAGAAGGTTAAGAAATGCCTCTAAACCCTCGTTTTCTGATTTTGCTGTTTGTGTTATATAAGTTAGATTCTGACATTTTCTGTTTGTAATTGTTCATTTCATAGGTTCTCAAGAGGTTTGACGAGGAAGCCAATGGCTCTGATTAAGAAGCTCAGGAAAGCGGTAATCATTTCATTTCGCCTTTTTCTTATTTGGTGTTCAAGTAGGCTTGAATGGTGCTAAGTTAGCTTTCAGTGATTCGATTGTGCTCGCATGGTTGAGTGTAGTTGGTGGTTAGTTGAATCTAGTTTATGTTAACCATTCTATTAGTGCATCTCTTTTGTTTGTGAAGTCAAGTTTGGGTTTTAATGAGCGAAATGTGGACGGTTTCTTTGATTATTTGACTTGATGTCTTGTTTTGTACATTGATCCCTTTCAGATTCTGGTGTTCAATTCTATAGTCAAAGTCTTTAGTGAAATTCATGACTTAGTTCTTGTTGAAGTAGATTCTGTCTAGCATGTCAAATGTATGTTTCTTTTTATGCTGAGTTTGAGTTTGAATAGTCTCTACATCAGTTACTGAATTTTGTTAGCCTCACTAAATTCTTATGAGTGTTACATTGTGTATACTATATCTGCTAAAACATTTTGTCAAGTGACTGATTACAAACTTGTTCTTCTTGTTGATGAACAGAAAAGGGAGGCACCACAAGGTGAGAAGCCAGAACCAGTGAGAACCCACCTGAGGAACATGATCATTGTCCCTGAGATGATTGGAAGCATCATTGGAGTTTACAATGGTAAGACTTTCAACCAAGTGGAGATCAAGCCTGAGATGATTGGTCATTACCTGGCTGAGTTCTCTATCTCATACAAGCCAGTCAAACACGGTAGACCTGGTGTTGGTGCTACCCACTCTTCCAGATTCATTCCCCTTAAGTGAAGAGCTGTTACCGGAAATGTGTTTGTTGCTCGTTATATGGTCATTACTTTGCTTTCGCTAAGTATGTGGATCCTTGTTGTGCTTTATGCTTTATAATGACATTATTAGATATTTCATCAACTCTAGCTTTTTGTGGTTTCATTTATGTGACCAAGAATTGAAATCAAATCATTTTGGAGTTTTGTTATGCCCTTTTTTGTGTAGATTTTTGTTTTGACTTCACTTGGTTTGATATATTGGTGCAAGTTTACTTGTTAGCAAATAAGCTATTCGAAGTTCACTAGAACTCATTCTCGGCGAATTGACAAAATGAAAATGTAGGTCTAATAATAAATGATAACACAGCAGCACCGAATCCAAACCAGAGGGCACACAGGCTATAACTAAATGGGCCTTAATTTTTCTTATTTGACATAAATGAGCTTTCTTTCAGTAATTGGACTTGGGCTTTTCTGTGCATTAAGTACAATCGGTGTTGTTGACTTGTGCGTTCCGTCTTTCCTTAACAAAAAGGTGATCTTCGTTCCTGAGAAAATCTAGGGTTTCTGAAATCGAGGAGAGATCAATCTAATCAAACAATGGCAAATCAAGTGATCTCCGGAATCAAGGAAACAGCTCAATCGATCACCGGTGCGGCTCGTCCATGGGGAGATTTCCTCGATCTATCCGCCTTCAGCTTCCCTTCATCCATCGCCGATGCGACAACTCGCCTGACTCAAAACCTTACTCACTTCCGCATCAACTACAGTATCATTCTCTCTATCCTCCTAGCTCTAACCTTAATCACACGTCCCATCGCCATCCTCGCATTCGTCGCCGTGGGCTTAGCTTGGTTCTTCCTCTATTTCGCTCGCGAGGAGCCTCTGTCGATCTTCGGACTCACTGTTGACGACGGCATCGTGGTGGTGCTTCTCATTGGTCTTACGATCGGGTCGTTGGTCACCACAGGAGTGTGGCTGAGAGCTCTCACCACCGTTGGATTCGGTGTTGTGGTGTTGATCCTGCACGCAGCGCTAAGAGGAACGGATGATCTTGTGAGTGACGATCTGGAATCACCATATGGACCCATGCTCTCAACCGCCGGCGGTGGTAATGACGGCGCTCGTGGTGATTACAGTGGAATCTGATCGACACACATTGCTTCTGATTGATAACGAATTTGGGGATTTAGGGTTTTGCTGTTTGTAAATTGTCATTGTTTCTTTTTTTTTGGTGTTAATGAAAAATGTTCATGACAAATTAAAATCGGGTCTAGAAAAAGAATCAATGCTGTCTAATTAGCCTATGTTGTAACATTAAGGCTACAATCCTTTTGCAGTTGCTCGAATAGCGCCAATGCACTTTTTGGGTTCCATTATCGCATAGACCGAGCATAGCAAATCGTATCAGGCCCCTTGTTTTTTTAATCTCCACTAAATTTTTGTTTGGCTAAATCTCTCAACGTCTTTGATGGAAACTCCATAGTCATGGAAAAGCTTCACATAGTCACCATCAACTCCAATACTTACAACAGCCAGCAGCTATATTTGTATCACAAGTATGCTAATTGAGCATCCATGGCTTACAACAAGAACTTAACAAAATATCATTGGTCAGATTATGAGACATTCTTTCAGGATCATGTATATATATATATATATACCAAAACATCAAAAGAGTTAATTGAGATGAGTTGATGCATCCTCGTGCTAGAGTTTCTAAAGCGGAGTACCGACGAAAAAGTAAGTAAATAATATCATAGGAGAGGAGCTATACCGCTACTGTTTCTATATTTTTAGCCAATCAGAACGTTCCATTTCACACCCACTCTCACAAAGTGCGCGTGTCCGCAATTAACCCACCAAATCGTGCCTTTTTAGCTCAACCCACTTCTGTTTTAACATCCCATCGCGTGACTTGTTTTTTTTTTTCCTTTTCTCAAAACCAATAGGTAAAACTGAACCAAAATCAATTGAACTGTGAAAACCATATAAACCAAACCGAAATCAATTGATCAGCAGCATCGGTTAATCAACCAATGTATCGTATCTTCGTATGAACAGAGATCAACTGAATCATCTAATTCCATAGACAAAATCGTGCCATTTCTCGGTAAACATGACTGCCACTAGAATAAGCTCGTCTCCAGACACACTTGATTTATCTTTCGCCGTCGTCCACGCAATCGATCTACCGAAAGAGCTCGAAAACGAAATTTAATCGGCCCGGCGGTGGATATCACTCTAGTTTCTAGGATCGGCGAGGAATCTGTAACGAATTATACTAATTTAGGCCCAACTCCTTGTAACCTATACGAAAACAAATTATTCCCTAAAACCCAATATTCTAGGCCCAATGGATGAAAACAAATAAGATTCATATTATTCTTTTCTAAATCAGTTTAATAATTGAGGAGATATAAACGAAATTTTGTTCATTGACCAATAGTTATTTTTAACCTTTTCACAACCATTCTGATCATAAAATAGCTATGTACTATGTGTTTTTAAAAAAAAAAATCAAAAATGAAAAGATTAAATATTGGTTTTATTTTTAAACTAGTAATGACATAATCATATTTTCTGTTAAATCTATCAGCCGTTTTCTAATTATTTTATAAGTTGATTTTCTCTAATTCTTAAATAATAGTATGTATTATGCGATAATAATAGTTTGGTGAAGAAGCCTCTAGAGCATCAACTTGTCAAATTAAATTATTGACCCCATCAAACATCGAACATGCTTCTGCCTGATCCAAGAAATATTAATGGGGATATAAATATACATATATATCCTGAAATTTATAAACATTTCAACGTAACTAATTGAACAATGTTTGTGTTTACACATACATATGTAGACACATTTTCTATATATATGCATGCATGTACGTTGAAGCGATACACATTCATACAAACTTTGATTTGTTCGTTTGGGGGAATTCAACATCTTCTCCATGTGCTCTTCCCATTTCTCAATATTTACATTACTCATTTATTTATTTGTTTTGTTGTCTATTTTCTTTATTCTTAATACTCTTTAACGTTGGACATCAACTTAATTAATAAGTGATAAGAGAGACATATGATCGCTCCATTGTATTTGCAAACCACCATTAATCCAATACGGGACCTATATTTTATCATACGATCTATTTTTATTATTTTGAAATACGTATACGTCCATATATTTATCCATATCTATTTTTAATTGCGTATAAAATTTTATATAATTTATATATAAGTTTAGAAAATCGAAAGCCTAACATATAGATCATGCATGTGATCTCTTTACGGTACATATATAAATACAACTTGTAATTCATTTCTGAAAGTGATAAAAGACGACACAACGTAATTCGATATCTCTGTATCCTTTTATGGGATTATAAAGAGTTTTTATTCATTTATTTTCGTAATAGAGAGGGTGTTTATGTATAATTACACATCTTAATAAATTTAGTTGGTGGTATAAATTAAAGTTAATATTCCTAGCTATAATTAATATAATGGGAAATGAGATGATAAACAAAGGTAACGAAATGAAGAGACCCATGAAGATGCACATGGCATTGCTCCCTCTCTTCCCCTATGGGGTCCTATTTCTCTATTTTATTTCCTCCAGCCAAAAGCCAATTATCACTTTAAGTACCAACAAATCAACATACCAACAAAGTGAATCCTTTCCATGCATTTTTCTAATTATATTCGATCTTATACATTTATATGATATAACACATGTACGTATATTAATTGTCATTCTAATTATACTTTAATTATTAATGCTTAGGGACAGTTTATATATTTTAGGGTCACATGCATATTCGATCGCTATGATCTTTAGGTTCAAGGCTTCAAGCCATGGACGAACTAAAAGAATAATGTTTTTTGCCTTCAGAATATAACTGACCATTATGAGATTGTAGTTATAGAGAAGTAATGTGAGGATACAGCTTCTTTGGTGGAGTAAAAATCAATTTTTCCTTATACGAATATACACATTGTTTGGCTAAAAATAAAGATAAAGACAAAACACACATAAGATGTTCAAATTATTACACATTTTCCATTACAAGTTTCTCAAATATTTAACTTAAGTTCATTACACATAATATATATAGCATACAAACTATATCTACATACCAAAACCAGATCAAAACACAGACAAACAAAAGAAATTGGACAATGTATTTCATCGTAAGAAAAACAAAAAAAAACAATTAACACCAATAAATGTGATAATCAAATATATAATTATTACCACAGATAATTTTTTCACTTCAAGCTCTGCTCTTGCATTTCTCCATTGCCCTCGGAGCTGAAACATTTTACCAATTAATAACAAGCAAAGAAAATTACAACGACGGTAATTTCTTTTTCTTTTTTTAGTTTTATTTAACAAAAGAAACATCAAATCTTATGTATTACGGTTAAGCACAGGGGCGGACCACATAGAAAAAGGTGGGGGCAGTTGCATTCATCAACCTATTAAAAACTAAAAATTTTGCATTAAAATTAAAGTTATAAGTGTCAAAATGGTTAAAGTGCCCCATGTAGTGTTTGAGGTCATGGGTTCAAACATCATTTGCTACTTTTTGCCCCCAGTTAATTTTTTTTCTGGGTCCGCCCCTGGTTAAGCATTTACTAATTAGACGCTGTCTAAAAGGAATGGTTATGCGGTTTGAGGTGTATTGTATTATACTAAGCAGCACAATATAAATGTTGCTTAACTGCAGATTACATGTAATCTATTTCTAACTATATATACACGTAAGATTTAATATTTACTCAATGGGTAAAATACTTAAAAACCATGTGAATATATAATATGCATTGGTAGAAAATATACATACCGAGACCAATGGCATCAGATCCCTTCATGAGACGTAGACGCTTGCATGTATCAACGAACATTCTAATACACAATAAATTTAAAAGCATATTATTAGAAACAAAATTAATGAAACGAAGAATTAAATCGTTAAGTAATAATTAAGGAAGAGGAAAACGTACGGCCAAGGAACGTCGCCGACGAGCATCCAATCACCGTCTTTGTCTTCATAAGAAGGAACATAGTCCCAACTATTCACTAAATCCATCAATTTCCTCTCATTCATGAAGTCTATCATTCCTTCTTCTCCTCCATATTTTCCTAAACATATATCATATATATAGTATGAAATTATACATTTATTCGAGAACTAACTAAGAAATATTCGAAGTTTCTAAATAGTTTTAACGGATGATATACAAAAATGAGAAATAACTAATCATATTTGTATTTTCTAATTATAACCATATGTGATAAAAAAAATGTTTATATAATGAAATATTAGGTACCCATGGTAAAAGAGCTGAACATGTTGGACAAAGCAGTAGAGAGCTCGTCGTAACTTTTATACATCCTCAAATCAACTTTCCTCAAGTACGGTGCTCCGTCCATTGACACCTTCACGAACGCTGCTGCCTCCGGGCCACTGCTTGCTTTTTGGCACGAAACCATTACGTTCTTCCGGTATGATCTCACCGGCGGCCATCCCACTACTTGTGCCCTATATTTTTAATAAAAAATATGGGGAAAACGGTTATGTTATTCAAGATTGCATTGCATCCATAGACTTATTTGCATGAGTATATGGGTTAAAACTTATAACCAAGAAAATATGATTGTTCTCATATTTGTATATCATCCCTTGAATCTTTTTTTTTTTTGTTTACAAGAAAAAAAAGTTTATGATTTTAGACTGATTTGATGAGAAAACATAAATCTTTAATTAAGTGAAAGTTAAAGTCAGTTTCTCCAGCCACCTTTACCAAAATTTTGTTAGATTTTTCAGCTAAAAACTTGATAGATATTAGCTTCGAGGGAAAAAGTTCCCATCAAGCTTTTTAACTTTCGTTTAAAGATGATTTTATCAGAAAAATTAAGGGAAGATTTGGGAAAAAAAGGGAGAAATTAGTAAAAAAATACTTGGCAGGAGGCTTGGCTGGATCCTTGGAACAAGAACTCTTCTCCTTGGAATCAAGAGTGGTAGATCCTTCCTTGTTTTCAGGCTCATTGTTCAGATTCAGCTTCAGATCAACCGTCTCTGAGAAGCCTCTCTTGTTTCCAGTTACGGGAGCCACCGTATCTCCGCCGGGAAGACCAAGACACAGCTCAGTCTCCCTCAAATTCAGCTCGACACTGCCTATCATTATTAACCTCTCTCTTCTTCTTTGGAAAGTGATGAGGAAGATGGGAAATAAAAATGGGTTCTATAAAATAATACAAAGTGAGAGATGAGTCTCTATTATATCTCTCTCTAGAGAGGGTAGCTGCATGTGTATGTCGTATTTAAGAGATCTTTGGTTTAATAGTTTTTTGACACGTGGATCAATC